TACAGCATACAAATCTACTCAAGTCGCTGTATCTGTGTGTGTGGGGGGGGGTGTGTTTGAGATGTGTGAGCTGTGCGTGTTTGAGATGTGTGTATGTGTGAGCTGTGTATGTTTATAAAGAAGACGTTCACAGTGTGTTTGAGCTGTGTGTGTTTATAAAGAGGACGGTTACAGTGTGTTTGAGCTGCGTGTGTGTATTTGGTTGTGTGTTTGAGCTGTGTTTGTGTGTCCAGACATAAAATCAATGCCATGCCAACTCCCAACCGTGAACTTCAACATGTACCAAACAGCAGTACAGTAGTGTTGTGGCAGTGATACGCCTCCCTCAAAACACTCCTTACTCTACATATTTTAAGTTTATTCACTAAAATCATCACACAAGTTTAAAACAGGCTTAACAATGCACGTATAAGAGTTCGCAGGCATACAGTTCAGCATGTGTATCGACATTGCAGGTATACGGAATACATAGACACTGGAGGTATATAGTTTCTAATGCATGTATACCTAGACCATAAAGTATATAGTAAAGCAATTTGACCAAGGTTAGCTAAAAAAACAACCAGATGTTTATTTCCATTACGCTCCTATACAAACACAAAACACCAAAAAAAAAAATTAAACACTGCCAAATTTGACCAACAATAATACATCAATTAATAAATATTACTAAAACACAAAACAGACGAGCCTTAACTGTATATTGCCAAGACCTAATGTGTGTTCAAGACTGACCCACCCTCCCTCTTCCCGACTCCCTGTTGTAATACATAGACAACAGGGGACCAGTTTAATGGCGGACTCGCAGTGGGGTATAAAGTTGTATTGGGGTTTTATCTCACACTTCAGGGCTTATTGCCAGGGTTATATTGGCTTAACTTTATTATATATCCTGTGAATGTGACGTGAATTGGTGAAACTTTGGTGTGTGTGTGTGTGTGTGTGTGTGTGTGTGCCTTGGTACGACGGCGAGTGTGTGTTCCTTCAAATCTAAAAATAAATAAACACATCCTCAATTTTTTTTTTACTTCCAGTCAGTCATGAGATTAAAATGACGTCATCAGCGTAATCCCCGCCATAATGCCACAACACAATTAAGATAATGGAGCGAGAGGCTTGGTGGCACTAACAAACGTACACACACACTCTCCCAGCGGGCACTTTTACCAGGAACCATGGACACACACATAGCCCCACATCTGCACTTCTGTAAATACAATATAAACGAGTAATACCTACCACGTTACAATATACAGTACTAAACGGATCACCTGAAGATTAACCTCCCAGCTTATTTTAACTTATTATTGTTATTAACTAAGCACATAACTGCCCAAGTAAATGTTTTTGTTTTGTTTTTGTGATGAGTGTAAATAAACTCTGCCTCTTGTGTAAATAAACAGTACGTCTTTGTTGTGTAAATAAACAATACCTGATATGCCTTAGTTGTGTAAATATAGTGTTCTTTAGTTGTGTAAATGAGCATTATGCCTTAGTTGTGTAAATAAGCATTATGCCTTTGTTGCGTAAATAAAGGGTAACTAAGCCTCTGTTCCATAAATAAAGTCACATTTAGGTGGTGGTGAGCCTGCCTCAACCTCACCACTGGCCAACACCTCACCTTTAACTATACAAAATTCTCACGACTCACTACCAGGCGATACCCCTCACATACACACACACACATGATAAGAATTAACTTAGTCCATAGTTACCAACACCACAACACAACTCATAACTTGCTGGACCACACACACACACAATCACGACAGCCACACCTTCTGGTAGAACATGTTTAGTTGTGGTCCAGCATATATAGTACCATGACTACACGCAGCACCACTTTTTGTACACACCCACACCGAGTTTTCCCTAATAGAAAGTTATAAGCATCCACAAGCGTCTGGGTTTTTTAAAAGAAAATAAATGTCAACTGCGATCTAAACGTGGAAATATGTAGTTTTGCTAAAAGTATTCATTTTTATTTATTTATCTTTATCATCATCATTACTATTACCATTATCATTTTCATTACCAATTTTATGACCGTGCTACAATTAATATCATTGTCATTATTATTATTATTATGATTTTGTGTGTCCAGCAGTAGGGTGATTAAAGTTTGTACTGGCTTAGCAGTTCTCTGGTCTCTGATACAAATATTCTTTGAGGAAGCAATATATGATAGAGAGCACCTGAACACCACCACCCCCTACCTCATTTCACCTGAAGTTAAACACCCTAACACTACCTGGCAGAGTTTGCTTAGATTAGGTTAGATTACATTAAGTTAAATTAGATGAGGTTAGGTTAGCTTAGATTAGGTTATGTTAGGTTAAATTATATTGTTAGGTTAGACTATGCTACTTTTGATTAGATTAAATAGTGTTAGGTTAGGGTGCATAATCATCACGTAAAATAAAATTGGCAGAGGGATTGAGTCGGTATCAGCAGTATACTGTACACCCTTAGCTCACAAATACCTGTACAGAGACTAGACAGAAAGTCATACCAATCCCCCTTCTCAGTGTGCCCGCATGACAGAGGCTAGGCTGTCACATTAATGCCCTAATGTACCATACAAGCATTGGTTCAAATATCATGTCACAATGTCCGGCCACGTTCCTGTCTACCTTTCCTTATACAGTACATCACCGAGTTGAGAAAAGATATCATTATTTTTATTAACGTTACTTCTACTGGAGGTAAAGCCGCCAGTTCTTCATTTATTTATGGTCACCAGGAATTAATTTGTGCTATCAATGTCAAAATATCAGAGCTTAGAAGAAGATTGAGCAATCATTGGATTTGTTCAGCTTAAAGTTTGTAGGATCACCCCACCCTCACCGGAGGATATCGTCTCACTAAACCCATGACCAGAATCTTACTCACAAAGACTTGGACTTAAGACAGACAGTCCATCACACCCAAGAGAGAATCCTTAAGAACTAGAGTCACGAATCTGTCTCATGGAAAGGGAATCAAAGATGAGAAATCCAGAGTTCCTTATACTATGTTAGACCAATGCAACTTTCCTTTCAGACAGCCACATTAAACAAATCATAAACAAGAACTAGCTATTTAGACAGACCAGATCATCACCTACAACCTGCTGCTCTACATCCAAACATCCTGCATCGCTCTCCCTTCCACTACACCGACAGGAAGGAGGAGATACACTACAACCCACACAGCCCCTGCCAACAGTGACTCATCACCACCTGCCAACCCTCCATGAAAACTTAAAGTGACCAGTCAGGACCATGAACATTTATCACAGCAGGAAGACCCCCAAACTACAGTACAGAGGCTGGGTCATGGGAGAGGCACACCAAAAACAGGGAAAAAAGATGGAAGTTGCATCATGAAAATCATCCTTCCTAAAGAAAAGTCTAAGAATAGGTACTGTTGTTAGGTCAGGAATCAGGAATACCATTACCAGCACTGAGGATAGGGACAAGCCTCTAAGATAATACCTCATATCCTGTGAACACTTATACCTGACTCCCTGTTGTGATGTAAGTTCACTGTATACTCAGAGTATCACAATAACTTTACATCAATACAGTAAGCCTCCCATATCACCTCCAAAACACACTGTAACTATTTTAGTACTGTACACACCTGACATATTCCTTCCTAACTCCATACCTAGTGCTTAACATGTACAAAAAACTGAGCCATTTAATACAAGTCAACAAACTCAGCTGCATGTACAATAGCTAAAACAACTATATGTGCAGGTGGGGGTCAATATGCTCCAAAATATTACGTGTGACTAATGACAGCCCTCATAGACCTAAATTTATCGTCCATGGTCTCATATTGTTTTCCACAAAGTATGCACAGATAGTTGTTTTAGCTAATGTACATCCAAACTAGAAAGAAATCTTAAAAAAAAACTATCCTGATAATGAAAGAATAAAATTCCAACTCAGGAAACTTTTACACCCAAGGGCCTAGGCTGTGTACCTGTGTGGCCAAGCAAAAGAATAAATTACAGTCATTTCTATTTAGAGTTTGTGTTTCACATACTGTATACATACACTAGTATTAAAAAAACCAAAATACTATACATTATAATGTTCTGTACACATGAAAAAATGGCTGCAACATTTAAATATCCCTATACTGTACTATGTAAATACTAATAATTGAATGACCATGAACTCTTTCTTTAAATGACACGAATAAAAATAACAGAATACCTCATAAATATTTCAATCACCATTACCAAACAGTAATATGGTATCCTAAAATAATAAAATATCTGTAATGCACTGTACTAATAAATTAATGATTAAAAACTAACCTAAACAATTCCCCTGATGACGGTAGTTAGTTACTCTAATAATGACTTCATAAACCCTGACAGTATAAGTACACTACACAGTTCAGTAAGGGCATAGTACTGTAGTGTACTTAACATAATAAACTGAAATCTCTAAGTAATGTATTTAATAAGGATACGTTTCTGATCAGTCTTATTAGTATGATCGGGTATTATATCTTTGCCTGGTATATACATGAGGATAATGGTTAGGGTATACTAAAAGGGCTAATTATCATACTCAAAGGGCTAATATACTCAGAGCTAATTATCATACTCATTGTTTCCCCACTCCAAGGGCTAATTATCATACTTAATAAGTGTTACCATACTCTAAGGGCTAATTAGCATACTCATTAAGTGTTATCATATAACAAGGGCTAATAATCATACTCAAAGTGCTAATTATCATACTCACTAAGTCCTATCATACTCCAATGGATAATTATCATAATAAAAAAATTAATCATCCTCAAAGGGTTAATCATCATCATTTAAATACCTCATCCATCATCATCACAGTACCTCCACGACACACACACTACCAACACCTCTCGTTCGGTCGCATCAAACAACCATTTCACTTGTCTATAGGGCCTTTGAGGTAGAATAGGTTATAGGTCAACAAGATTATGTACTCCCTGCAGGATAAGGGAGTCCAAGTACTCACGTTGCCAAGGTTACCGGTGTCAAGGATCAGCTGGTGTCAAGTCTTCAAGTGGATGATGACCTCTCAGCCTAGATCTCCCTGGTCAACCTCCCACAACAATAACTTCCACTCTCCTCCACAAGTCAGCTGATTGTCAACACACGAAGGATTTTCAGTTCTTTTCTTATGGTTGTTTATCTTTATAACAAACAAACTGTCCAAAATAGTGAATATATAAATAATTCTGCGACAGTATAGGCGTAATACCTTACGTTCTGAGAGTCAGCAGTGTACTGATTGATCATAACCCCCACACGAACATCACCTCACACTCACTGGCTGGCGTTCCAATAATGTTGCAAAACACTGGACGGCCAATATTAAATATAATTATTCCGAACAGGACTATCAAAACATTTACGCTTTTAATTAAATAATTAAATATAATATAAGCTTAAATTATAATACCTACCATAGGATTGTTAGGTTTTGGGCATCTGCTTTAGAACAATACGTTAATAGTTTAAGTCGTGTTCGTGGTATCTTCCTAGCATTGGTCTCCTCCGAGTTTCCACTGCCAACGCTCATTCATATCCCTCAACCGGCAATTTTGGAATTGTCAATAATATATTGATTATGCACCTTCAATATAGACACAGTATTTTATGTTAAATTTCATATATTTTAAATGTACTTTTAAGGAAAAATTTCGCCAATTATTCCCTGAATATAAAAAACAACATACATACTTCTGGAGTATCTAAACCAGCCTCTCCCCAATGTTTACCAAGGAACAACGATAAATACACAATGACGTGTGGTAAAAAAAGCTACATGTAAAAGAAAATACAGAACTAATACAATAAATAAATAAATAAATATATATATATATATATATATATATATATATATATATATATATATATATATATATATACTTTATAAAAGCTTCCAAAAATATAAGGGGATAAAATACCATTAATACATATATACTTTTATTCAAGGTCTTTTTACAGTAATTAAAAAATAAAGAATGAGATATCACAAATCTATCAACACTTAAAATACTACACTACACCTTTCTTACCCTCTACCAAGATATGGGACGGATGCATAAATCACACTCGGGGCATTATCTAGCCACTCATTAAAAACACCTTCCATCACTTCAGCACAACTATGAAGAGAGAGGGGAGGAAATCTTTCAGTACCACATGTGTACAGGTCATAAACACTAATGGGTCACTTACACAACCAGACAACGCCCAAATCACACTACAGGTCATGCTTGATGGTGTGACGATGCAACAACATAAGCAATACAAGACCAATGCAAAGCTGGTCTATATATATTCTAGATCACAGCGGCCAATGATATCTCTCGCTGATATTGACCACAGGACGAAAATGAATCGTTGTAAGTTAGTAATGGAGAGTAAATATAGGAGTTAAATATAGGAGTCGAGATGAGATAAACTCCTCAATTCCCAGCAACCCCAAGATAGACTGATAAAACAGATGGTGAAGAGGATGATATGATAATGAAGGGTCATCATCATCTATCAATCAGGATTTTGGTCAAAGTTCCCTGTCCAATGAGGAGGCCCCCTTAACCTAACCTAACTATTAACTATGGTACCCAATACATCAGGACCACAAACTTAATAGCTAGATTAGGTTAGGTTAAGTTTTAGGTTATTTTAGGGCATAAACAGTAATTATTAAGCCCTATATTATGCCCTAATATGTATTCAATGCATATTATATCATTGTCTAAATCAAATGTAAGTCTGTATATTTTCAGTCACCGGCTGCAACTCTATTAATAAACCGTTTATTATTATTATTATTATCACACACACACTGGTTAACATTAGGCACAGTATACCATCACAGTGATTATATATTTACAAGTTTCTACAGCAAGAAACTTTTATTACTACAGTACATTCTTATTTGAATCTTTTTAGAGCATTTACATAGCATAATATATCATTTAATACAACAACCGTAGACTACACAGCCTCCAATAATCATCTCACAGGAGGGTTAAAGTATATAGTATAATATATTCAATGTTAAAATTCATAACTCTAAAATATAAAGAAATAAGATGGATTAAGCCACCATTATCTGTACTCTCTCAAAAGATTTTTCTTCCTGCTGTCAAAGGTGTGTTTGTTATGGTATTTCACTTCCACAACTGTCTCATATCAGGTTTGGTTAGATTAGGTTTGGGTTGGTTAGGTCTGATTTGTTTTGTTTTGGTTTGGTTAAGTTATGGTTAGTTAGGTTAGCATTAGGATGTGAAATAATCTAGGGTGTCTAATCTTCAGGTAATCCATCGCAAGGTTATTAAGTTCCAACGTTTATAAGTGTCTGATAAACTATACTTAAATCTTAGAGCCTTGTCATGTAAGAGGGAAGACCACAAGCAAACACATCTACCACAGCAGCTAGAATGAAGGGAAGACATACACAAGAGGTTATAGTACATTGACGTCATATCTGGCCACACCACCAAAATAAGATCAGATAAAAACTCGATACATAAACAGTAGTTCGCGAGAAAATACAATCATATCTGTGAAACCACGGACTTCTCTCTTTATATAATCCGTGAGATGGGGTTTTTCGCATCTAACGGACCCTCGATATAATGAACTTTAACCTCTATATAGTGCGTTAAATAGAGGCTTCACTGTGTACCGTACGGCAAAAAATTTATAAACTCCAGTTACATAAAGAAAACTTAATTAATAATCAGTTTTTTCTGTATCATCTTTGTTTGCATTATAGACTCTGGCAAAACCTCTGACTGGAATAAGAAGCAACAGAGACTCGGTTCATTTGCTCTACCTAACAGGACAAACACAATTAAGTACTTGTAACAGACTAAGAGTTTAACAGTAGAAATAAAATGTGAGATTCTGAGATGAAAACAACAAGTGCAATGGTTGCTTGTTTGGGTGACTGTCAGATCATTAAGAACAAATTATCCTCCAAGTCATATTTTTACAATAACATTCTTTAGTATATAAAAATAAAAAGACGGATCGTACAAAACATTGAATTGGGTTAAACATACAGAAAGGGCAATAGATATTATGCATGGGAAACTTAAAACTGCCAGAGTAATAAAGACAGTGGTGAAAACAACATGGTGTAGCCCCTGTGGTAGCCCCTGTGGTAGGTCATGTGGTAGGTCTTGTGGTAGGTCATGTGGTAGGTCATGTGGTAGGTCATGTGGTAGGTCCCATAGGGTGGTAGGTCTTGTGGTAGGTCCATGTGGTAGGTCATGTGGTAGGTCATGTGGGTAGGTCCTTGTGGTAGGTCATGTGGTAGGTCTTGTGGTAGGTCATGTGGTAGGTCATGTGGTAGGTCATGTGGTAGGTCTTGTGGTAGGTCATGTGGTAGGTCTTGTGGTAGGTCTTGTGACTCCCTATCACTACCACAAGAGCTGTATTATAATTACTATATACAACTACTTAACTATTACTCCAATGTGAATGTTTTTATATGTATTAAAATTGTCTCTGAACACGGTAAAACTGAACACTCTGCCGACAGTAGCAATACGTAAGAAGCAGCTTCATAACCTTGTCTTCATACAAACGTGGGATACGAACGTCAGATGAGGTCTTCCCTATCCTCCTTAGCGTCGTTATAAACAAAACTCTATTAAACATAACAAAATAAGACCTTTATGAAAACTGGAATATTAAAATTTATTATAAAAACTCTGAAAGTTCAATATATACACAAAATAAGGTTCCTTCATTCAACATACTTGCCTGTAGTTAAACAATCAGGTGGCATAAAAGTGTTAACATACAGTACATTCAAGGGTGTAAATCTACTGCCTCTTCCACACAATAACCAGACCAGTGGCATCTGAAGTAGCGAGCAGGGACTCGTCGTAGTTGAAGGTGACGCCCAAGACTGGGGCCGCGTGACCCTGCAGGCGGTTGATGAGCGGCCGAGTGTCCCGTTCAACGTCCAGGAACCAAACACTGCAATCCTCACAGCCACTCACTAGAACGACATATATCTATATAACACAGGGCCTTGGCTGGTGACACTAACTATTTTTAAGGTATAATATATAACAATGGATGAATTATGGTCTAGAAATAAACAATGAAGGAAAATAAGACTTTAAGCATTATTTAAACTTCACATACAAGTAAACCAGAGAACTTACCCACACACGCTCCCTGCCTGAAGGACATGAGAGGGCAGAAGGTCGAGCGAACAGGTTGGTACACATGAGCAACGTTAAATTTCCGCTTCAATCGTAAACCACCTTCCTTGTCCACCACTCTGTAAGCACACAATATAATGTATTGATATTTTAGGATTATTAATAACCCCATAATATGTTTCTTTCAATATGGTAACACGATTCCTGATACAGTATAGGATGGGAAATATCTAGAGCAACACACACACTTCCATTATCCACTTTATGATCTGTTAATATTCTACATAACAAACATTTACTGCACCATAATGTCTTCAAGTTCTGTAATAGAGTTATACAGTATATTATAGACTACTGTACTATGATATAATAAATACAGTGAAATCTATATATAATGGACTAAATGGAGAGGAAAATTGGTTTTACCGAGGCCTCATTATATGTAAAACCTCCATCTAACGAACTATTATAGAGATGAATGTCCATTATATCGAGGGTCCGTTAGATATGAAATTCCCATCTAATAGATTATATGGAGATACGAGTCCATTATATAGAGGTTTCACTGTAGCAAGACTTAAGACTACTGCTCAATGTCAAAAAAAAAGGAACAAGTATACAAATAATTCCTCCTGCACAAACCTAACCTAACCAACATTCAACAGTCATAATACTACATGTTTCATATACATTAATCTTCAGTGTCTTCATCCTGGCATCACACCATAAAGAAAATATTTTAAAATGAACAAACAGACAGGCAGAATCTAACCTGTACAAGAGTAGAGCATTACAGGCAGCACTGACAAGCAGCGTTGGGTTGGGCGCCTCACGACTAGCCCAGGTGCGCGCTGATAGGCTGGTGATAGCTGCCCCTTCGTTCACCACACACCTCTTGCCTTTTCTCAGACCTCCACTTCCAAGGTCGAAGAGGAATGAGATAATTATACCCTGAAGGGAAAAATATAATTGTAAAACCCATAACTCCATTTTCATTCACATATATGAAGTACAGAAGGCTTTATGATAATGTAAGTAGCTGGAGTTATTATTCAGTGTGACAGCAAAAGAGCTCCAGCAAATTCAGGTCACACCAGATGACACTAGCACATACAAACAAATGCTGCCTGGAACAAGTACAGGAAGATACTATGAAAACAAGTAAAAATGTCCATACAAACACATACTTCCTCAACCTCAGTGATGTAAACACCAACCTTATCATCACCAGCCCATAGTGTCTTGCCAGAAGAATCAAAGGTTAAGGCCGTGACTTGACCAGCGACTTTGCTCGTTCCTCCCTTAGGGTAGTGGCCGGTGGAGATGTTCAGGACCTGCACCAGCCCTCGACTGTTGCCCAGCTGTGGGACTCAAGTTAAGGTCAAGCAGTAGGAAAATAAATCATCTATATCACCTAACACAGAAAGAACACTGAAAAGAGGATCTCTACTTTTACCAATGGTATTTGAAACCCCTTTTGCATTAGGCTCTGCAATGAAACCTAGAAGGATAGAACCCACTTCAGTAAATAAATGTATGTATAAAGTAAATAATCACTAAACATAAACCAATAAACACAATTTCAGTTAAATCCATGAAGCCCTCCTGAAGTTAGTGAAGGGAACTGCCTCCATACAGATGGTTGAACTACAAGATGGGGGTAACCCTATAATGCCTCACCACCTTAAGACAAGGGCATTAAAAACTTCATAAAAACATGTATTGTATATAAAAATATAATATACAGTAATGATATTTTATAAAGGATACAACAGCCCAGTTGGAGTTGAGTGGATGGAAGAGACAAGAGAGGACCTGCCCTCCCACTTGATCACTAACTGTACGAAGGCAATGGCCTGTTGTTGAGCTCCACAGGCAGATGGCTCCGTCCTCCCCACAAGACAGCAAGAGGTCATTTGTGGACGACCAGTCAAACCCTGCAATATATGATAAAGTTGAAACTATAACTGAAAATGGATAAAATCAAGACAGAAATTTGAAGAAGTAATATTTATAATGTGATGGAACCTACGAGGGGAGGGAACATTTTAGAATTTATTTTGAGAACAGAAGAGGCAATGATGGATGAAGTCCACATCTAATAAAAATGTAATTGTGCTAGTGACCAACATTCACCAAGATGGAACACTAACCTTACACCGTCAAGCTTCAGTATTAAATGGAGAATATAATGACTTCATCCATAGAGACCAACAGAACGAGTGAGATAACATGCTGTATAAACTGTGGTGCCATAAAACTAAGTCTGGGTCCTTAAAATAGATTATCCTTCACACCTCACCTGTTACACCAGCAGTGTGGTGACGGAGAGTGTGGAGCACCCGAGGTTCTCCTTCAGCGACCTGACACACTGACAGAGTTCCATCTAGGGAAGAGCATGCAAGTAGACCCTGATCATTGTGAGCAAATTTCACCATTGTAACACTGTCTGCATGCTGTAATAGGGAAACAAATGGAGATGTTATTTTCACTTGGAACCTGAAAAGGAATAAAACAATTAACTCACTCTTAAAAAATTAGTATTATGGGAATACTGTAAATTCCCATCTTTACAAGAGAAGACCAAAAAGGATTAAAACTATAGCAAGTGAAGCTCCTTACAGCCATTAGTCACCTCTCTCATCAAATGGTAATAAAATAGTAAAGCTACATAAAATATAAAGTAACTTGTACAGTACAGTGCAGGGCTTGCATCTCGGGTACACAGAGAAAGTTATTACTGTTTGGTATCAGCTGTTTGAAGATGAGCGTACTGTAGTATTAATATCAACTGTTTTTTGAGATTCTACGGTTTTCTGAGGTTTTGAGGGTCTATACCTGTAGTTGTTTTTATATACGGTACAGTACTGGGAAACTGCTTACAACTAATAATACTAAATGTTTCAGTCATACTTGATCAAATATGTGGTGCACTCCAGAGAAGGCATAATTCTCCCCGATTGAAGTACCACCCACTATAGCCTTAGAAGCCTCAGCTCGCTGTGTGGGCACGACGGAGCCAGCTGTTGGTGGTCCCTGCGGCCCCTCGATGCCCTGGCTGCCCGTCTGCGACATACTCATACTCCGACTCATACAACGTGGTGAATCACCCTGTTGACATAAAACAGGTTTAGTGAACATGTACATTGTAGGAAACTTAGACATAACAAAACTCTTTTAAAAATCAAATTAAGAAAAGAGACACAAGGTTACAGTTGTCACCAGCACCTCTACACATAGTCACTCCTTACAAATAACTATACAGTATTTCCAGTCTACAGGAAAGAGCATTAACTCCCTACCTCTACAGTGAGCCGTGAAGCTGAGCGAAGACTTGCTGGCCTACTCTTGAGGCTGAGTTGGTCCAACGTTACACAATAACGCTGCTGTAACAATGCTAGTCTCACCCTCAGATAATTACGCACAGCACCACTATCCTGCCAACCAAATCCACAATACGTATTCAGTAATGTCTGTGAGAAACAGCGATGGTGAACAGTACTTCAAACATGAATTAAATATAGTAACTGGAAAGATTCACAGTAATGTAAATGTAAACTTTGGAAATCAAGTTACATTACAAGAAAGAAACTTAACTGTACATTAAACTAAATAACTATAGCACCACTGACAGTCTCTCCAGGTGTGAGTACAGGTATAAACTTCAACAATCCAAAATACTTGAGACCAGAGCCATTTCGGATAACTGAAGGCCAATAAAAAAAAACAATATTTCACTAAGTAAGAAATAAAAACCCATGATAATTTTAAACTAATACAGGTACATAATATATATAACCGAAAATACATTAAGTAACAAAATAAATATGTTGAAAATAATACAAAAACAAGTACAGTTATTTATTTATGCGACTAATAAAGATTAAGAAGTGTAGGGCTGTGTAAGCAATTCAATTTTTCTCGGATAAATGCAGCTCAGATTTTCGAAGTGAAACATGTACTGTACAAGAATGAGTTATATATACCAGTACATTTAAAGAGGCCAACACTGGTCCCCAAATCCATATAATTTTAGTACAAGTTTCAGTCTTCTAATGTTTGTTTGATTTCCAGTAATAACAATACTGTATTGTCTCAGGAAAAAAAATACATCAACAACGATGCTCCCACACACACCTCCTCCCGAGCACTGTCCCTCAGCAACTGGCTACGACGACGGATATAGACAGTCTCTGAAAAGGACACTTATTAATGTGGAATCCAAAACGAAAACACACCTGGCATATAACTCAGACACTCTCAAAAAACACTCAATCATCCTCCAATTCTTAAATATCTACTAGTGCATAATACTCTACCAATTTAACCAATCACTAAGCTATTTATAAAACTAGTAATCTCAGTAACTATGATTCAGTAATTCAGTCTTAATTAATCAAGGGCTTATTCGATGATATAACCTAACGTAATCACAAACACACCTGAAAGTTAAGCTCATCACTCAATTACTAATCTTGCTCACCTGGTTCAGTATAATAATGTGCTCAATAAACTAGTCAAGCTGTATGGGTTTTTTTTTATATAGGAAGAACACATCATACAACATATCACATCACCTAAAGAATTTCCACCCCAGTTTATTTCACATAAAGATTACCAACACCCCTTAATGCTAACCTAACCTAACCTCACCCCACCCAATTGTGTCAGGGTGATTATAATCTTTAGGTGAAATAATCTGGGGTGGAGATGCTTTTGGTGAATCAACACACCATACAAGTAAATATATATAGATTACCTCAAAAACACCATTAATCCCTAGTGTAATAAGTGCCATTTTACAAGTACAGTAATTCCACAAGAGAGGACCTTTCAGATTACTGGTTCCTTCAATGTAAACTCCTCTGGGAATTTATCATCACACACTCTTACTCAGTGGTGGGCACAGCTAAACGAAAAGTTAACTTCGCTAACCAGCTAACTAAAAAGTTAACTTTGCTAATGCTAAACCGCTTAACAGCTAAAAAAATTAGCGGAAGCTAACGCTAACCGCTGACTTTTATTATATGAATTTAGCTTCGTAATTTTTTTTTGCTCTAAAACCCTTAAAAGCAGTCCTAGAGAGCTGAAATTTTCATATGTTGTCTTGTAGCTTAGACATAGAGCTTTCCAAAAGGGTATAACATGCCAAGATCAGATGATGATCAAGGGGTGTACACAAATAATTAAATGAACAAATGAAATTAAACATTAGTTTACATTCAAGTTTCAACATACACTTTATAATCTTTATTTACTATACGAAAAGACAGAAAGTATTAAACGAATCCAAAAATTATAGTACTGTATAGCACAGGTAGCAAATAGCATCATGCCAAGATCAGATGATGATCAACTTATCAAGGTGTACACTGTACACAATTTCACAAATAATTAATTTGCATTCTCATACAACCTATCGGCCTTATTCATTATTCATGTAAATATGCAATACCAACCACATACACATTATACCAGTGCATTTTTATGTAACTTATTGTTGGTCTTAGTCATGTAAATAAACAGAAAACTCTAAACTTTAATGAAAAGTAAGTTTTTAGAAAATTTTGTTTGGCGTACTAACATGCAGTCAGCCAAGCGTGCCTGACTGGCTGTTGGAGACACGTGTCGCGGCATCACACGCTTACAACAGACAGGAACAAACATGTATAAATTTTGTTAGCAGACTTAAAGTTAGCGGAACTAAATTTAGCGGAAGCTAATTGGTCCGCTAATGGTTTCCAAAGTTAGCGAAAATGCTAATCCGCTAACGATAAAGTTAGCTTCGCTAATTAGCGGTTAGCGGAACCGTGCCCACCGCTGCTCTTACTCACAATTACCTAACCTAACCTAACCTAACCTAACCTCTGCCTCGACTTTGGATTCACAGCTAAACATTATTGTTACATTTTCTTCCATTAACTGGCCCATGAGGAAATGACGAGGGGAGACAGTCCTAAAAGTGGAATAAAAATAAAAGTTTGCACACATTTATAAAATCAAAAGTAATGCCATGAAAAAATATCAGCTTGTCTAAAAATATAAAACAATGTAAAGTCAGTAAATAATGCAAATAAGATACCATAAGCATTTTAAGGTAAGTAAGCTCGTATAACTGTGCAGAAGCCAAAATTGACGTAGCCTACCGGAAAGCCTAGGGTGACAAATGGACGATACCAGAGAAAAATATACTCGTATAACCTGACCCAGAACTCAGGTACTAATTGGAAAATCCTCAAAACCAGTTAAGTCTTGGTTCTAAGCACCCTAAATATAGAGGCAGATAAGTGTAGTGACAGAGAAGATCAAAGAACAGACTTTGTGACTTATAAACTATGGCAGGAGGTACTATCTGATACACCAGTTCTTTATACCCTGAGTTTAATACATGCATTGCCCCAACCTGTGTTACGGCAGCTGACTGAAACTGCCAATTATATCACCAGTAGTTAGTTGGTTATACAATACCATGGGTTATGTCTGATAAAGTGTCTGGTACAGTATATATCCTTGATCAGCCATAATACATCCAATATAATGTTTTTAACCCAAAGACTTATCTGATAAATAATCCCGTACAATGATACATCCATATGCATGCTTTAATTTGTCCCCTCATAGTAAATGCTTCAGTATTTTCTCACAATTATGAAAAATATGACAAAATCCCACAAGAACTGCAGTCATCTCTTATTGTACCTTAACTACATCAGTAAATTACACATTCCCTCTTCCACATCTCAAGAGAATCACTTTTGTTTCACTGACAGTCCAAACTATGTCCAAAAAGGTGAACGCTAATATGAAGAGGAAACATTACACAATATGACCTCAACTTTGACCAATGAATAGCCAACACTACAACCACGATATTCCCCTACAAGTGTCTCTATCAAATAACCAATAGAAGCATAAGATCTATCAAATACCCCACAATGTACCAATAGAAGCATAAGATCTATCAAATACCCCACAATGTACCAATAGAAGTATAAGATCTATCAAATACCCCACAATGTACCAATAGAAGCATAAGATCTATCAGATATAAAATACTGTATAGGTTCCTGGATGAGGTAAGTACTACGTGCTGAAGAAGAAGAGGCAGAGGTGTTCACTTACTGAAACCAGGGGCAGCCGGAGCACGATGGTTGTTAAACTTGGCATCCACAGCCAACACCTGCTGCCACCAAGCCATCTTTGTGCAACCTGTGATGGCATTAATATTTATTTAGCCTCTGATGACTCCACGTGGCCTGAGAGCGTCCAGCAGCCGAGCCATGATAACTGATAAGCTAAAGGATGTGTTGTCATGTTCTAAAAAAATGATGTATATAACTATACCCCCGATGCTTACGATAACACAAACCAACCAAACTTAACAATCCCAGGGTAGGTTTGGTTAGTTAGAGATTTGGTTAAGGTTAGCTTTGGTTAGTTTAAGTTGGTTAAGTTTGGTTAATTTGTGTTCTCGGCTTCAGGAACACGATGTCATTTGCTGACCACACCCTGGATACTGGACCTCTCGAGCCACATGTGAGATAATACAGTACAGTACTTTATCACCTTTCCCTGAGCCCTTGATGACCTGACCTTATACACCAAACTTAACTTTACTTGTAACCCCAACATAAATTTTAACATGCAGTGGTGCCAACATTAATATCTGCCCTGACATAATAACTAGATATTTAAAAACAAAGATTATCTCACATCTTTATATTCAAGCACTATCATTCATCATCTGGCTATAGTATTAGTACAGTCTTTAAGGAAAATATTTACTGTTTGTTAGAAAGAGACTTTAAGATAAAATACATACAGAATAATATGTACAGTTGTAAATAAAAATACTTCAGCAGGGAGAGAGTTTAAGCTGCACCTGCCTCATAGTTAAACGAAAAAAATGAATTTATGGTCTGGACTTTTAACTGCCACTTCTATGTAATGTTGCCAAGTCCCCAGCTACCCATACCTTCCCATACAGCACCTCACTCTCTCCCTGCCTGATGAATTCTTCTTCTCCACACACTGTACTGTAAATCTTTAATATATTAACTAAAAAGGTTATTCTTCTCAACCTAACATTAACAGTTTCAGGGATGACCACAGAGGGTGTACTAGATAAGAGTGTGGGCTCAGAATTATTGACTTTCACCCTATCAAGGTTTGAAAATTTATCACCACAAAATCATTACTATCTGTTGCTCCTCAAATCTCATCAAATTAGGAAAGTTTGTGAATTTTTCTGTACTCTGAAGATTTAATGACAATAAATATTAACTATTCTGTGTATTTTGGCAACATTTATCAATTATTTTACGTACTCAAAAGATTAAATGGCAATAAATAACAATAACTACACAAGTACATGTATATTCCTGTACTGTACTAATTGACTTATCTTAACCCTAATCGTCACAACTCAAAATGCCATAACAGCGGAAAAACGCCTCAGGATGGATTCATATTAATTTCCGTCTGTGGTAATCCCCTGAATCAGTTATGATGGCATATAGGAGTGAAATAACAATCACGAGGAGAATTTAGTCTTTTTTTTTTAGTAATGTACGAGTTAATGTTATGACCTTTGAAACAACTACACAGAAAAACAAGGAAAAACACACTAAACAACTACAAGGAAAAGAAACACATTAAAACAACTACAAGAAGGACAAAAACACTAATTAAAACAACTAAAATTAGGAAAAACTAGGACAAACTATTTTAAGCAACTACAAGAAAACAAGAAAAAACATTTAAAACAACTACAAAAAACACTTAAAACAACTAAAAGAGAGGGAAATAAAACACACTTATCGCCATGCACCAAGTTACAGTAGCCTAATTTAAGGCACTTTTCATTCATCACCAAACACACACACATACACTTACTCGCCATTTCCAAAACATTTCACTTAACTTGAGATTGAGTTAGACACTTTAAAATTCACTGGTAATTCCCCTCGAGGTATGCATGGCGCCCTTGCTTTACCTTACCCTTGTGAATTCGCCATTTGTATACCAAGGGTCATATATAACATATGTACAATATACCTGTTATTTCTGGAGCATTACCTGAAAAAAAAACACCCTATATCTCTTTATAATATTATACCTGTATATCTGTATCAAATTAAGCACCATTACCTGTCCAATTATTAAGAAGAGAGCAGTATCACAAAGCAGAAAGGTATACCAGTTTGTGGGTCTTGTGGCAGCAGTAAGGGGGCCAGTATTTACAGACATTATTACAGTACTAACTAGATAGGCATTAATCAGACATATTTGGGAGTCCTCTAGTGGATGGTGATGCAATAGAGCACATATATTATACAATTAAGAATGAATAAGTGACAATAAAAAAAGATGGGTGGGTATGTAGTGTGTGTGTGGGTGTATGAGGGTGTGTGTGGGTGTATGAGGGTGTGTGTGGGTGTTTGTTTTCTCCAGCATGAATCAAGAGGAGATGGGAAGGTTAAAAATGAAAACCTGTCAGTCTTACTTAATAAAAATTATCAATGGGTACCTGAAAGTTAAATTAAACCAAGATAATACTTTTTTCCTTTGCAATAAAGTATTTTCATCAATCAATATTCTTTTATCCAGAAATCTCCAACAACTGCAGATAAACTCCAGCTCGGTAGACCACATACTATAGCAATATCTGTGATTACTTTGGCTATACACATGATAGCAACAGTGGCTTCCTAGAACTGTCATTCCCATACACATGAACACTTTCAACAAATATTATTATCATTACACTATACAATACAGTATTTTTATTTATTGCAGATGAATCAACAAAACCTACCTATAGTCTGCTTACCCTAGAATAAAAATATATTATTTTTAGGTTAGCTTTAGCTTAGGTTACATGGGGAAGTGGTCCACCGTTTAGCTTTTAAAACCTACATTATAAAAAATGGCTAAGGGCTATGTCTCCACTCCCTTAGCTTTATCCATGAAATAAGAAATAAGTTCTCTTCTATAATATTCTTCGTTTGATAGCTGAATAACCCAGGCCATTGATCTAACTAACAATATCTACGGCTGTACTGACTTCCTGCTGTATTGTACTTGTTAACTATGAAGGACCGTGTGTGTGATGCACCTTCAGTAGGACGTATATTTTGTGTAGGTCATATTACAACCTCGGGTCAGACGTCATAACTAAAACCAAACTACTTATTAACACTAGGTGACCCCATGACTATTAAGGCTACCAGCTATTTCAATTATAATCACATCAAAGTTCCATTCCTTTCCCTATATATCTCATACCTTAGACACTAATATTATTATAAAATATTCGTGTATTCTTACCTTAAAACTGCCGTCATGAAAGGTCTGAGGGAGAGACGTACTCCGTCATTATTCTCTGTAGTAAACATTGGCTGGCAGGGAACATTAAATAAGGAGGAGTAAACTTTATTTTAACACCAGTATTTATAAAGTGATGCCGGAACAAGACCATGCCGCCACCTCCCGTCAGTAATAATAACCTATAAAAGAAAACGGATAAAGATTAGTTGTTGTGGGTAGATTATGTTATTTATTTTCTAAATCGCTTTTTAAAGGGTTAAATTAATTATCATCCTTAATCGGTTCAATAATCCTCCTGTTAACGGGAAATTAATGTAAAAAAAAGATGGCAAAAAAAGATGGCAAAAAAGACGATAGCTATTGACAATGGCGCCATCATTTAGCAGTCAATAACATTTTGCTAAACACGATTAAGCAATTTAGGGTAATATACGTCTATGATTAAAAAGAAGAGACATTCCTCTTAACCACCCATAACATCTAATGCTTACACACTACAAACAGCTTCTACTCCAACTTAACTCGGGTACACTGGTTTGCTACTCGGGCACGATGACCAATACACCACCATGTACCCACCTCCTCCCTGAATTGTACGATTACCACTATTTAACTGTCTACTCGTATATATACTTCAATACAGTTAGTGGAATCTACCCTCTCTTTGGTGCACCTTAAAATCAAATGCGCTAAATGTGTAGTAAATGAAAGCCATCGTGTTTTTGCCTGAACTTATCATTAGAAAAAAAACTGTGGAATTATGTACCTTAGCTATAAATTGACCCTCATTCTTAAATAAATTAAGGGTAAATTTTTTTTTTTTTTTACATTCCATGACGTAACAATTACTAAATTAAGGTAACTTTGGTTCGCCATCTGAAACCTTCACACATATCCAAGGGTTTGGCTGAAGTGGACTGGTTTCCCACCATAACCGATATATCTTTCTTAATTCTCCAAACTCATATTGACGGATATTGGATCTCTGCGCCACCTGTTGTCTGAGAGATAGATCAGAGTAATTACCTTCGTCTTCCTTGCCTCCCTGTCACCCATCTTACAATAATTCTAAAACTCTTACATGTGACATTCGTTATCCTGTATGTGTGATCCAGACTTGCTAGAGAAGAAAACAATACAACTTAATTTGAAGGATTCTGAGCTGACAGTCTGTGGTGAAGTGGTGAGAGAAAGGTGAATGGTAGTACACGTTAATTATAATGGTTAATGATAGAAATATTCCTTGATTGATGGTTTGTTATTTTGTATTTTGGTCACTGAGGGAAAGGAGAATTTTTTGGATTGGTGATTTTTGTTATATTTTACGATGATATATATAGGTTATTTATGATTGAGTTATAGTGAATAGCAATAACTAATGTTCACAGGTGGTTTAAAGGTAATACACTGTTGTGGATTACGTTTGGTGGATATGTCATGGATTACTAAATTACCAATGAAGTTATCCATTAATAGTTATAAGATACAGTAATTCGATTTTTTTGGGTGAATTTGATGCTGTTGAGAAGTGGTAACATTATACTAGGCAAATTTACCCTTTATACAATAGGTAACATTATAGATCGTGGACTCAAGATATGGGTCTCTTTAGGGAAATTATTTAGAGAAGAAAATTAGTTTCTTACCACGTGAATGGAAAGTAATGAGTGGAGGAGTGGCAAATTTCCCTACGGTTTAGTTTTCCGCACGTTGTTCCATGATCCGGGGCAGTTCACAGGGAAGCTACGGATACAGGCAGTCCACGAGTTACGAATGGGCTCATAAGTTGAGAAGTGTTAATTGCTTAGGTTAGGTTGTGTAATTTATTTAAGATTAGGTTAGGTAGGTTAGTAAAATTTTAGTTTTGGTCCTCCTTCTATTTAGATATCCTAACCTAACCAAACCTAACCTGACCTGACCTAATCTAATGTAACCTTACTGATTTCCCGGATGACCGAAACTAAAATAATACCGATAACTTAAATAGGTTAATTTTAGAATATTGAATTAAACAAAGTAGCGCTATCTGGTACAGTACTTCAGAAATCTATACCCTGTAGATGGAAGAATATCTAAATGAACTATCCAGATTTATTTTACTTCTTGAATTTCTTTTCTGGTAACAATGTTGGAAAAAACAGTAATCGACTTTTTTCCCAACACCACAGCTGTAAATTCTGTCTGTTGAAAAGTTGGGGGTCAAGATGTTATCATAAAATGGCTAATTACGTCAAGTGGATACAATACTGTATATATGTCCAAAGAGTGAAACCTCTATTTCACGGACAATATCGAGACTAAAATCCATTATATCGAGGGTCCATCTTTTTCAGAGTTTCATAGTTACTTAATGTATGTGTTTTGGCAGTTCATGCTTGTTTTTTTTAATATACATGAAGAAATGTTTAAATGTCTTTCTATTTCTAGGGTATACAGTATGGTAATTGTTATAAATTTTAAATGGAATTATTGGAATCATTATACAAGGTAACAGCTTAATTAACTAAAGAGAATATTATTAGGTTAGGTTTAATGCCACATCATATTTTTTATAGTAATTTTTGGTGTACACAATAATTATAAGCCAAAAATAAACATATTAAGTGAGAAATGGAAATCCCAAATGAGGTTCTAGAATATTGCCTGGATATTGAGAGGATATTAACATTTACAAACTTACAATGCCTCTGTTAATGTTGGATTACTGTAGTATTTAATTACCTTATGTAAAATTGGCAGCTGAGATTCCAGAATAAATATAATTCCACCTCTTAAAGTTTCGCCATCCATCAGACTCTCGGATAATACTGAATATGTGTCCCAAAAATTATACCATTGCCACTTATTGCTCTACACCTTGTTAAAAACTTTGCTGCTGACGATGTCCTTCCTATTTTATCTCAGGAGCTGTGTGGGTATGGGAAGCAGGTTCCTGAAGGGCAAGTTTATGCGGTTTGGGGCGCCCTTTCTTGTGCTGGTCGTCGGAGGATCATTTGGACTAAAAGAATTTTCACAGATAAGGTAAAAATGAATGCATTGATTTTGTAACTTATTGCACACCTTTTAACTTGTGTTGAAGGTTAATCTATACTAAGAATCCATATAGCCTTCTCTTACAAAAATACTTTATGATAATGTAAAATTAGGGTTTATATACTGAATACTCCTGCCAGATCCAACCAAGCCAAGAACCCGCCTGCAGAAGTTTACACAAACACACTTATTACTCAAGCCAGACTGATTTCAAAACTTATTACGGGGGACATGGTTGAGTGTAAGCTATATTTTGAGCATTGTTTTAGTGGCACTGGGGAGTTGATACATGGTGAATTGACGGGAACAATGTGGGTATTTGCCATTACAGTTCATTGTCAGTGGAATATCTGATACTGTGTTGCAATAAAATTATGCAATAATGGCTACTTGTACTGATTGTTCTTTTTTCCATTGCCAGATATGATTTTCGCAATCGGAAGAATATAACCAAGGAAGATGCCGAGAAACTAGGCATCCCTATGAAGCCGCAGGCTGAAGTTACATTGGAAACAGAGTACAAAAAGATCACTAAGGTAAGGAGTGGTGGTACAGTTGCAGTCTCTTGGTGTTGGGCTGTGTTTATATTATATTATACATGCCATTAAGACCAAGGATCACCACAAGGTATTTAGGCATTTGGTTCAATATGCTTAATTTATGAAGTCAGTGATATCTTGTGTGTTGGTAAGGTGTCATCCCACTTGGACGATCATCTATTTTATGCTATTAAACGTAACCTAACCTAGTCCAACTTAACCTAATCTGATCATGACAAGTAAAAGGAATAAAAATAGCATAAAACAGATGATCATCCAAGTGGGATGTAATCGTTGGTAATAGCAAATGATAGTTATTGTAACATTGTGTAATCCTGTTTTATATACACCCCTCGGATACCACCACGACCCTTAGATTATTTTAGCGGTAATCCCTGAAAGCTAAAAAAAAAAATTTCTTAAATTACAGTAGAGAATGCTCCATAATACAGTATAATTAGTGTACAGGTGCCTCACACTGTACTGCCACCTGCTGTACTGTATTACTTGGAATTCTTCACTGACAATCCTATCATTTTTTATCAGATCATATACTGTATGTAGACTCTTAATAAAGTTTGTATGATTTACCTAACATTGTAATAAACTATGAAACAGAAAGTATCATTTAGTGTTCTTATAGCACAGTTTAGAAGGAAATAACCACAACCCTCGTTATTGTGTGTCCTGCTTCACTTTACCCAGTACCGTGCCGTATCTTAATTCCTCTTTAGATGGAAACTGATACTAAAACATTTGTGTATGTCCAGGTTCATAATTTCTCACCTTTAATACTTGTTCAAAACAATACAGTTCTGTATAAGTTTAACCCCAGTATCTCGGTACCATTTGCAGTAACCAGATATGTTTTAAGTTTGTGTCTTAATTAATTATTCAATTTATTTACTCCCTAGATTGACACCAGCAACTGGGAGAATATCCGAGGGCCACGTCCGTGGGAAGATGGTAACAAGCTGTATGAAGAAGCAGTGCAGCGAGGAAAGCAGAACACCGACAAGGCCTCGTAGACAAACAAATATTCAAAATCATTAATATTACGGTGAGGCGTTGCAGGGATTGTCGCACCTCTATAGTCTTTCAGTTCTGTCAAAACTTTACATTTAATAGAAAAAGAAGTGTTGTCATTCTGAAAGTTAATGTTAATGAGAAAATCCACGTGTTAAATTAAGTTATTTTTAGATGCCGGTAATTGTGCTATTTACTCACAGTAATGACCGCACTGTATATAAAAGGATGTTCTGTGCTGTACGTATCTAAACAAGGCCATTATGCTTACTAAATTACAAACAACATTAACATATAGAAAACAAAATCTTAGCCTACAACTGGTGTAAATATTGATGAAATAGAGAGGCATTATTGATGAGACTTTCATTTATATACTCACCTTAAACTTGTGGAAGAAAAAATATAGTATGAATATTTAATTAACTTTTTCTACAGTGCAGTACTATTTTAACTCCTATGTACTATGATAAAAACTGATATAGAAAAGACTAAACTGAATTAGAATAAGTGCAGTATACAGTAATTTGTCTTATATACTGTATATGGTGTTATAGACGATTTATCCATTGAAGAAAAAGTGAGCATTATCGGTGGGACTTATTAAATTGACGGAAGAAGATTACATTGATAGTGAGGAAATATGTCAGAATCCCGAGCAAGTTCCTCCTCCACAAGAGTCCCAGCAAGTAAACCCCCCTATTTGCCATTGTTAGTGTGGGAGGTGGCGGCCGTCACGTCATTGAGTGGATGGGATAATATCAAAGTGCAAGTTCGTGGTCAACTGACTGGCTTTACCCCCTATGATAATACTGCTATGCTGCGTTCTAGAACGTCAAAGGATTGCAAATCCAAGATTATGGTAAGTTTGTCTTTTATATCATGTCCCGTAGTACTTTATTGTAGAATGATATGTCTGAATTTGAAGTACGTAAGCAGTAATTGTAGAACATTAGTGGTCTTATATGATTGATGTAGAATTGTACGGTAGTTTTATTGATTTCAGTGTTTGGTGATGGCATGAAACAGCTCAAAGTGCACCTCTTTTTCTCACAGATGACTCTCTTAGTGTGAAGCAACTGTAAAATGATCATGGTAGGTTTTAGGTGTTTATTATTGTATAACCAGTTGGGATGTGTACCTGTACTTTCACTCCTTCACACTCAACAGTAAAATGAATAGTTACATTGTACACTATTGGGTACGTATGTCACTGGTGGACTAGTGTCTTGCCAAGGGTGATGTATTATCTACTCAGCACTAAGAACTGGGATCACCACCACCTGTCTGGCCACTCACCATCAGAACAGGGAGGTGCTTGTATGCATGAATAGCAAATCCCCCTTTGGGTTATGAATTTGTTTCGTGAATTATGACAAACTTACTTGTTGTATGGTACATAGTTTATGCCAACATATGACGATCTTGTATGAACGGTTAGTTAAATAATTTTTCGGGCTTGTGCAAGTGAAACTGGTACAGTACAGTATTAACAAGGACAAGTTTCCAGAGTAAAAGTTGGGTTACATTTCCAGCCATTACCAAACTACTCAGTTGAGTGTTCATACTTACTCAGTTGAGTGTTCATACTTGGAGCTGGTGGATGCCCCCTAGGGGTCACAGCTTAGTTGAAGAAGCCACCAGCTCAGAAAACTGTGGGGGCAAACTTTTTTGTCGTACTGTACTGTAATAGTTGTGAACTCTTGGAACAGCACCGAGTGTGATCTCATTCAAGACCGGACTTGATCAGTACTGATGAAGGTACAGATATATTCTGGAGCCAGTACTGTACATATACACTACAGTACTGTATTGCATTTTAAAAAGCTAATTCTCAAATTTAACCTTTTCACTCTGTGATGCCACTTTTGATACAGTACTGTATTTGACTAATGCCATTTGATTTTATTCAGCACTATATATGCACTGTACAGTTGGGTCTTCATTTACACGGTCAATTGAACCCGTGGAGTACCGCGTAAAACAAGAAACGCGTAAATGAAATAACAGAACATGTGGGATTAATTGAAATAGAGACTGGGCCGACCCCCAAACTCCACTTTTTCCGACAATACGTACGTTAATTTTATGATGGTATGCACACACAATTAATAATTACGAGAAATATCAATAATATTAGGTTTTTTAACACTTACATTAGTAGAAAAGATGGCTGGGCACACGGGGATGGGGGGTTGGTTCCGAGGCAGAGGGCAGATTATTGGCCCTCACCTGTATCACTTGTATCAATTGTATCACTATCCACCACAGAGGCTTGCAGGGCCTCTTTGTCAAACCCCCTCAAAGTCCTCATAAGTCCATATCCTCACTATCACTGACTTGGGCCGGCTGTGGTGGGTGGCAGGTGAAGAATTCGGTAATGTTTTGATGACTGGGGGACCTTGTGTGCACCCTGCCCGCGCTGCTTCCCGCGTAAATGACCAAATTTGCCGTGTAAATCAAGCATTTCAATTCTGGCAAGGCACCGCGTAAATGACAAAACGTGTAAACCAAAACCCCATAAATCCAGACTCAACTGTACTGTATACTGTAAGTACCGTATACCTGTATATTGAGGAACAATTAAATCGTGTGTTTATTTGCAATGGGAGACAGAGCGAAAATGATTAGCAAAACCTCCGCTATTATGAATAAATCACAAACACTGTTATGTGATTTTACATTTGTTATTCCCCTGGGTAGTCATCTATTCCACAGTGCATTATGCGTCATAATTCATAAAATAAACAACGCATTGGACCTATTTTCATGCAGATAACTAGAGAGCGAATAACTACCTTTGCCTAGGTTGTCGAAGGTAATATACGTACACAAACCCTTAAACAACGGCCATCATAAGTGGAGGTTAAATCAAGGGACGGCAGCCATCATCCGTGTACAGTACAGACCATATTTTCCATGGCTAAGTGATACCTCTTTAATCATCTGGGCTCAGGGAGAATTGGGGTGGTGAGTGTAAATTGTGGGGAGCTTAGTGGGGAGTGTAAATTGTGTGGAAGGATAGTGGGGGAGTGTAAATTGTGTGGAAGGATAGTGGGGGAGTGTAAATTGTGTGGAAGGATAGTGGGGGAGTGTAAATTGTTTGGGAGCTTGGTGGAGAGTGTAAATTGTGAGGGGGGCGATGAGGAGTGTAAATTGTGTGGGAGGTTGGTGGGGTGGTGTATGAACTGAAGGGGGGGCGATGAGGAGTGGTGTTGGTGTGGCTGTGGGGGGCGATGAGGAGTGTAAATTGTGTGGGAGGTTGGGGTGGTGTAAAGGGGGCGATGAGGAGTGTAAATTGTGTGGGAAGTTGGTGGGGAGTATAAATTGTGTTGAGCTTGTTGGGGAGTGTAAATTGTGTGGAAGGATAGTGGGGGAGTGTAAATTGTTTGGGAGCTTGGTGGAGAGTGTAAATTGTGAGGGGGGCGATGAGGAGTGTAAATTGTGTGGGAGGTTGGTGGGGGAGTGTGTGTACAGTTGCCATCCTTCATACGCAACTGGAAGTCAGTTCACCATAATCTAGGTCAGACCAGAGACAAATTACAGTGTGGCGAAGCGCGTGACCAGTCGTATTTACCCACATAATCACGGTGTGTTACTTGTCACGCCAGAAGTGCTTTAGGGTTTAGGCGAGAGATAATAATAATAATAATAATAATAATAATAATACTTGGGTTTGTAAGGAAAATTAGCTTAAACAAATTTGCCTTTGTGACACTATGTACACAGTATATATGTAACTATGATGTAGGTGTGTGTACATGTGAAGGACTCAAACATTACAGAAATACTCGTATGATGAGAGACAGACATTTGTTTAATTATCATTATAAATATCATTCTACACACCATCTAATATGTCGATTGATACTGTGGCTGAAACTTATTGAAACTTAGGGAAAACTCACTGAAACTTAGGAAAACTTACTGAAATCTTGGAGAAACTTGTTGAAACTTGGTGAATCTGTCCTTGGCGGGTGTTTGCCAACGTTGAGGCTTCCCAGGTGTTTTGTGATCAGGTGCGTGTCTTATTAAGGTGCTGATGTAAGACAACCACACCTGCACCTCCTACCCGCCTCTCTATCTCCCACTCCCCTCTACACCTCCCTCCTCTCTCTAATTTTCCTCCTCCGTCCTTCCCATTGTGAGTGTGTGAGGTTGGCAGGAGTGAGACAGGCAGACAGTAACGAATGCATGAGTGAAGCCAGTAATGAATGAATGAGTGAGTGAGATAGACAGACATAGAGTGAGACAGACGGTAGTAATGAGTGAGACACAGTAGTAGTGAGTGAGACAAGGGCGAGTGAGTGAGAAAGGCAGACAGACCTACACAACTCCTGTGTTTTTAATGTCACAGTTGAAGGTCTCCGAGCCACTTGCTGCTAAATTATTCTCACCACCTTTATCTGAAGACGGGTGCTACTTTGGTATTCACGACTACGTTTTTATGACCACTTTGGGGCCATGATCATTCTTTTGGGGGCTACTTTTTAGACATTTTCAGGAATACTTTCAATGGCCTTTGAGGAAATTAGTTACGGCTTCTGTAGGCACGTTGAGGAGTATTTGTATTAGTTTAATTTTTTTAGCTAGGATAGACATAAACATACCAGGGTGATTTTTTGTTTTACATAGGATACGCAATTACGCATCAAGGTGATGGGAGATAATTGGAGGTGGTTGGAGACGATTGGACATGTTTGTAGACGGTTACAAGAGATTGGAGATGATTAGAACTGATTGTTTTCAGTTTTACTTCTCAAGTTTTATGCTTCAGTTTATACGTCATTTATTTTTTCACTGATAATTCTAACTTTTCACTGATTCGCCATTCGTGTCCAGTGTTAAGCCGTTTCCAGGAGGTAACTAAATTTAAGTAAGGTATCCTAACAATGTACATAAACAGTGTAGGTAAACAATGTACATAGTGTAGGTATACAAACTATGGTAAACAGTAAGCTAATATAGGGGTAAGGACAGCTTAACAAAGATATCATGTGCTTATCAATATCACCAGTAAGGTGATGGAGATTAACATTGGACATACAAACATTACTTAATCAAACCTGACACCTTCCTCGGGTATAAGATTAACGAATATACAGTATATGCCGTAAAGTTATTATTGGTATTATTAAAGTATGTAAGTAATCGTTCTTGATGTTTTATGAATTGTGGATGAATGTCTGTCTGTCGTGACTTTTGACGTTATTTAGCATTAAGTTAAGGGCGGTGAAGATAGAGGGATTACCATGTTATTTATCACTGGTTCATCTTCGTGTTTGAGTTTTTTGAGGTGTGTGTGGCAATGAAAACTTCCCTCTCTAATTTATTTATTCTTTGAAGATCTTGTGCGGACATTAATAAGAATATATTTGTGAGATAAGGTTGTGGTCGTATCTGTTAGCCTCTCAGCTGTTCATACGAGAAGTGAGAACGTTGCGGATGTAAACAATAACAATGAACGTTTGTGTAGTGTGTCAGAGCGCCATTAGTCATCTCATAAGTCAATATTATTTTGTCAGCTCCACCATTCATCACAGAATCGACTTTATCACGTCAGAGCACCATTATTTATCTCAAATTAATTTTTTTATATCAGCGCGCCAGTAGAATGCCACTAACTTGCTCCCCGTTGCTTGCTCCACTGATAATGAAGGAGGTAAGGCGGTCAACAAGGAACACCATTAGATTAAGTGCGCGTGTGTACACTAACTCAAGGCTGATGTTGCAACTGATAACACGATAAGTGAAGACACTGATTGTAAAGACGAGAATGGCAATTCCTTTTGATTGGAGATTCTCGATCGCCGATTGGATAGATAAGTTGTGACGTAAGAGATTCTCACTGATTGGATAGATGGAGATTCTTTTTGATTGGAGATTCTTGCTGATTGGGTGGGTATTTGTGACGTCAGACATTTCTGTTTATTGCATATACTTGTAAGTTACGTCAAAGGTTCCTCTCTCTCACACACTACATTTTATACCTAGTTAGATAATTATTACATTTGTATACCGACATTGGTTTCTACCTGTATTGTCCATGAAAATTGTTTGTTTACTTGCATTATTTACATTGTATACCTGCATTGTCTTAGTAGTACATTGTTTGTATACCTGTACCTGCATTATTTGTCAAGATTTTACTCAATATTTATCTGTATGTAAAAGATATCTGAATACGCAATAATTTCACCTTCATAAAATACCTTGACACTTTTTACATACTTTCGTGAAGCCTTGCGAGGGAGAAATGACAGATGTACTTACTGTATACGCTGTGGTTGGATATTTCTTTGTTTATTAGCGTGAGTAGGTGAGGGAGTGAGTGAATGGGATAAGGTGCCGCTATTTCGTCATAGAGGACCCTGGGGTGAAGGTATTTTTGTGCGTAAATATCATGTGTTCTTGCGTGTGTTTGTGTGTGTGTAAAGGGACTCTGGGGATTGCTGTTGATTGTATATTCCTATTAAGATACTTATTTCCTCATTAAGGACACCATTAGTTTAAGATTAATTGACCACATGTGATAATATTTGAGGTGTGTAGGTGTAGTAGTAATGCTTGTAGTGGTGTGGTAGATGTGGCAACGTTGCCTAAAGTTGCCATGGCAACAGTGGTAATAGTTGCCAGTTGTTGAAATGTATGGAAGTGTGTGTTATTCATTTTTTCGTTATTCTTGATGGAGTTTCTCTTTTTTGGTGTTTGAAACTACCTTATGAATTATTTTACGGTGTTTGGTTAAGAGGAAATTGTGTGAGGGAGGTAGAGGGGAGAGATAATAATGGTGGTAGTATTGTGAGGGGTAGTGTGTTGGTGGCGGCAGTAGGTAGGCAGGTCGACGGCCAGCTTGGGAGTTTTCCAGCCGAACAGCTGATCACGAAAACAACCAAACATCAACAAAAATAAGACAAGTGATTAACTGGAGAGTGAGCTTTATAGTCAACACCGAATGTTGTGAAGGTAATGACGTGTACACGGCGGGATATATACGTGTGTGTGATTGTATTGAAGAGTGACCTCATGCAACGTTGCTGGCCAAGTCGTACTGAATGCTTTGTTGGGTGAGATCCTTCCTTCACCTCTCTACTAATGCTTACTCCCCCCCCCCGACACCCTGTAAACCTTGCCTGTGTTAAGCTAATGATTCACACCTGTTGTTGAGTGCACTAAGTTAAAGGTTTGTGGAGGAACACCTGGTTAATAATGTGGCGCGAGGTAAGATGGTTGCTGCTTGCAACCCCCCCAACCTGTGGCCATTTTTTCATTTTACAATGGCAACTTTTAAATTAATTGACCATTGTGACAGGAGTTTTGTTGTCATATTTCATGTCTGTCATACGAAAAATCACAGAAATAGTTGGTGACTTGAAAATATATATTAAAAGAAGTGAATAATAATGTTTTGGCCACAAATAAGACATCCACCATTTTTAATGTATATAAAAAATGCTGTTTTGTGTTTCGAGTAATATTGAGCTTCTGAATGAATGATTCTTGACACTACAGGAAAATCAATCTTGGTTGAGATATTTGTAGAGAGCAAATATGTCAGGATTGACCTCGACTCAATAATGAAAACTTTGAAGTTATCTTTGGTGATTATTATTCATATAGTTGTGTGATGTGAGTCAGTAAATATCAAGTACAGGTGTTGGTGACATGTTAGGTGGTGCTTCATCCTCAAGAACTACCGTTACACACTCGAAAGTAACTAATTGTGGTACTCTGAGAACACACACACACACAAACACACACACATAAACACACACACATACCTTAATCAGGTGAATAAATTAATGTTGTGGAAAATATATACAATGCATGGCAGTGGTAGAATTGTTCTTTCCTTTTGCCATAATATTACTTAACTTCAAACTATATACAAGAAAAAATTTTAAAATTCCTACCATTTGCTCAAACTGTTTATGGAAATTCAGTTTTATCAAAGGTTAAAATTTTCTGTTTCCAGGAATGTATGAAAATTAATGAATCTTGACTTTTAACAAAACTTTCCTTCTATAAAATTTGATGATAAAATATTAATAAATTCAGACCAAGAAAATGACATTCTTACCATACATCTAATATTAAATACTTGTTGATTTATATAACATACGTCGTCTGTTTCTACACTATTTTGGGGGATAAGGTTAGGTTAGAATAGAATAAATTAGGTTTAGCTAGGGTAGGTTGGGTTTGATTAGGTTAGGTTAATTTTAGCTAGGTTAGGTTAGGTTAGGTTAGCATTAGGGTGGTTAATCTTTAAGTGAATTAAGCTGGCAAGGAGATTCTTCAGGTGATCCCTTAAATATAAAATTAATGCTTCTTATTGTGATTACCTGAAGATTAGACACCTCAGCTTACCTTACCTTAATGCTAATCTAACCTCACCTAATTTAACCCAATCTAACCTAACCCTTCCAGGTAGTGTTAGGGTTTTTAATCATCAGGTGAAATAAACTAAGGTTTACCTGTGTGAGCCATTACATTCTATTGCTTGTGTATTTAATATAAAGATAAAATCATCAGTCTGTACAGAATTATAAACAGCAATTCATTATTATGTTGAATGTTGTATCTTTATTTATACAAGGAATAAATGTGATCTCAGAACATGAATAAAATAATAAGTTTAGTGAAGCTGTTGCAGTATATTTAATTGACTTCAGTGTTGCATAATATCAGAATATACTGAATTAAGTATCCTGAAGGTGGCATGGAGCTAATACAGTATTGTCTATTGCTTTCGGTACATGAATCTTAATTTTGGGGGTTGTGAAGCATCAAGTGAGGCGACTGGACTTATGTTAGAGACTTTACATGCGTCTAAATTAATTCACGGACATTTTTAACTTTCAGATTGTTTACTAATACTTTGTTTTATATATATTCAGTGAAACCTCAATTTAATGGTCTATATGCTTTGGGAAGTTCAATTATATCGAGGGTCCGTTAGATATGGCACCTTCATCTAGCGGATTATATGGATAGAGAAGTCCGTTATATCTAGGTTTCACTGCTGTTGATTTTAGTAAAGAACTGCAGACCTCTTGGTGAATTAAATTGCTGTAGTACCTTCATTCTTGGTGGATTAAATCACTATACCTTCATTCTTAGTGAATTAAATCACTATACCTTCATTCTTGGCAGGTAAATGTTGAGTTACTGGGCAGCTGCAGCAACCTGAATTTCTCTATTGTAGTTATTTTTGGTGAGCTGGACGTAATAAATGGCAAACCACTCATCATAGCTAAGGTGAGTTACCTACGTGTTTCTGTCTTCTGAAAATGATTATTGGATGTGCAATTATATTCCTTTTACTGTACTGTAATTAATTCATATATATTTTGGTTTATTGGATAGCGAGGCTTCCTTTACAGTGCTCATAAACCACTATAAAGGGCTTGTGTGGTCCTTTTATGTGAGAGAGAACAGGATGAATCTTTGGGGTCAGCGTTGAAAATAACAGTCCGGCACATTATCATTTGTTATGCCTTTATACAACATGCAGCTTCTGTCCATACTATCATCACACCTCAGTTTGTTGCCAGGGTTACATAATAAGTATCTAGTACAGTGCAGCTGGGGACATTCATTTTGCATTACAATTCTGCCTTGACAGACCTCACCACACTTGTAAACTAACATCTTCTGTTCAGTCATCATTCTTTATATGGGACAAACCACTTTATAATGTAATTTTTTTATGTAATTGTAGCATTTAAAAAAATAATTTGCCATCTTTTCCTTTCAGTTTCTTCGTGAATGCAATACCTTGAACTTAGAACTTGCTGAAAAGGCTGATGAGTACATTCGCAGCCGCTTCCCACTCAACCTCCCCCTCAAGTGACACTTTCGTCTTATCTTATACAATAATATTTTAGTAACTAGTGTGTAATAAATATATTTATAGAATTTACTTTAAAGATTTTTTGGAATTTGCATTTTAACACTTGGTTCTATGGTCAGGTTAGTGAGCTGGCATAAGCAACTGACATATGAATATTGTATAAAGAAATTGTTGCACTCTGTCATGAGAACTAACAGTGCTCTGGATACTAGAAGGTTTGCGTCGTACCACAGAAGGCACATGTTAAAGCCTAGAAATCTCTGTGACTCTGTATATTTACACGAACTTGCCCATCAACGTGAACTTGGTGATGTTCTTCACTGTGATCCCATATATGTAAATGAACTGAGAAAGCACTGTTGTAAAAAGAGTCACTGTGGCTTGTCAGAGCTTAGCAAACTCTTGCATCGCAGTGAACATATGCAACGTTGGGAGCATTATGAGCAGTACTAGCAAGGCTGAAGCTCTGAGTGATGATCTACTGGAAGGCCAAGAGCATCTTGACGATGCTTCAGTGGACACAAAACAGTGCACCAAGGAGGTGCCTGGTGAAGGTAAAACACAGGTGACACACTCACTAACTGGAAATGATGCTTGTGAAGAACAAGTGTGCATAAGTGGACACAGTGAAATAGATGTTTCTGATAAAGGAAAACAATTAATAGTAAAAGGTGCTGAAGATGGGCAGGAAACAAAGACAAAAGAGACACCGGAGGCTTCTGTCTATGAGAATATTGCTGGTGAAGTAGCATCAGCTTTTGTAGAATTAGGAGGTGTTGGTAATGAGTTAAAAACTGCATTTAAAGATGCTCAAAGTGAATTTCTCTCTGCAGTGTGTGAGGTAAAGAGTGAACTTAGCCATGTACTTGGTAATTCTTCCCGAGTCAGTTCGGGTGTCTCTGAACTGGCCGGTAAAGATTTCGACAGCGGTGAGAGAGATTCCGAGGGCAATATTATATCTGTAAAGGTTGAATCTATGTCTTCTGATGACACTTGTAATTTTAAGAAGGTAGTTGTAAGTCATAGTGTAGATAGTGAGAGTGTTGAGGAGTCTTATGTGAGTGAGACCAAGAAGAGTGTAAAGCTGGTTGTTGATGAATTTGAGGACGACGAAGTTAGAGTATGTAGTGAACACTTGATGGACACCTCACAACCTCAACCTACAAAAATGAACAACATGGATGTCAATATTGAATGTAGTAGACTGATATCATCCACTAGTGTAAATATATGTTCCAATGTGCTTGCCAAAAATGATGAAAAAACAAATAATAATATATCGATGGGAGAAGAAGTCACGGAGGACTTGTTTAAAGATGTAAGGATAGTTGACAGTGATGAGGAACGCCATGTGGGAACAGAAAGAGGAAACCACTTTGATGAGAGTAAAGTGATTTCAGTGCAGAGAAGACAAGTTGAATATCATTTATGTGAGAGAGAACAGACTGGTAAAATGTTGAGTATTGATAATGATGGGAAAGGTTTGAAAGCTCAGCCACTCTCAGCTCCCTCCACTCCTGTTCCTTCAGCTTCGAACTCGGCACGTAAAATACTGAGATCTCAGGGATGTCGAGCTCGGAGAGTTTCATTCCCCGAAGACGAAACCCATCTGATCTCTAGTTATTTAGAGCCAGTTAATCCATGGCAACAGATGGCAGGAGTCACAGTAGAAGAGATAGCAGCAGCGTACAGATCGTCGTGCGAGCGGCACCGTACTCAGCCTCTTCCCGGAGTGTTACAACAAATTAAGGCCTTGCCATTGGCCATTGCAGGACGTGTGGAATGCCTCAGTCTTCGCGGTCAAAAATTGGAGGGAGGACAGTGTGAAGGCTTGGAGGAAATATTCAGAAGAGTACAATTTAAGATCCTAGATCTGGAAGGTTGCTCTCTTGATGATGATACTGCTATACCCCTGTTTGATATGATTGAATTTTATGACTCTGCAACACAGCTAAATATTTCATGTAATGGAAAAATTGGCTTTAGAGGGTGGCAGGCTTGTTCTAGAATGCTGAAACGTACTCCATCTGTTGAGTATCTCGATGCCCGCAATACAAATTTGAATGAGACCAACATGCCTATATTAGGTAGAGCGCTGCGACTTGGAGCTCGGTTGCACACGCTCCACTTAGAAAACTGTAACTTGACCGGTCGACCTCTCATCATGCTGACCGCTGCACTCAGACAAAATGATACTTTAGCTGAATTGTATTTGGCAGAAAATAGACTCGGTGTCAATGACTGCATACAACTTGGTAACCTAGTTCGTGCTAACAGTACTCTTCGTCTCCTGGATTTAAGAAACAACAACGTCCAAGATGCTGGATGTGGGCACGTGTGTGAAGGTATAGCAGAGCAACAGAAGCTGCAGCAACAACAACAGACTGAGACCAATGTTTCCACCAATAAGAAAGGTTGTATGGGTCTCCACTCTCTCATTCTTTGGAGCAATCACCTCACCCAGCAGTCAGCATCTCACTTGGCTGGGATGCTCACAGTAACTAAAACCTTGGAAACGTTAAATCTGGGACGAAATAACTTGACTAGTGAAGGAATATTACGCCTAAAAGAGTCACTGCTCAGAAATCATGCCTTACTTCGTTTGGGTCTGCAAGCAGCCCGAATAGCGGACGAAGGAGCTGTGGCCCTTGCCGAGTATACGGCGGACAACATGGCCATTCAGCACATTGACTTGCGGGAAAACCCGATACGCGTGGCCGGTCTAATGGCTCTGGCTCACTCTCTGCGTCTGAACTCTACCATCATCCAGATGGACATTGACTCAGACCCAAGAAGTGAGCCAGCAGCAGAATTAGCAGAGCAACATTTTACCCTTCAGAAAGATATAAAAGAATACTGCCAGCGTAACTTAACTCGAAGTCACTTGCGTGCTTCAGAAGAGCAAGCTAAAGAAAACAACCAAGGATGTCCTCAGGTTAAATCTCCAAATGAAGGATTATGTCTTAGTGGAGCAATCAGAAAAATTTCGCTCACTTGTGAAACGACGCCAAACAAGGCATTTGTTGTTGATAAAATTGAAGGACCAAATAGAGGAGAAGAAGAAAAGCAGAAATATACGAGTCCAGCCCCAAGCCCCCTCCCGAGTCCTTCTCCCAGCCCTTGTGCCAGTCCATCACCCAGTCCGGTACCCAGTCCCCTCAAAAATAGATTTAGGGTTTTCCGAGTCAACGAGGCCGCCAAGAGTTCCCCTGAACTAATATCAGGTTGTAGCCAAACCACAATTCTTTGCAGTTCAGTTCCTGTTTCCCAATCAGGAAGAAGTATGTCTGCAGGAGATCTTAGTCTGCCACCAAAACAGAATTCTATGAGGCCAAGTAGGGCCAGTACCGGTGGCCGCTTCACCGTAACTCGGGTGGCAGAACCATCTGGCTCTCAAAGCTTACCTTCCGAACAAGGGAAAGTAACGTGCATGTCTGGTACTAGTTTCACTTGTACTAATTCTGCTTCTGGGCCAAAAATTGTCATTTCTTCTCCAGTTAGAGTAGAAAGAGGTTTTAGTGTGGAGGAAACTTCACCATCGTCAGTGGTCATGGAAAGAGTCGGAGATAAAGAAAATAAGTGTGAGTTGGATAAATCTGTAGGTTGTAAGTCAGTTGGTCTTCCAGAGGATCAGTCACGTTTACCACAACGTCCATTATCTGGTCACGTTGTCAGACTCAAGTCAGATGGAGATAGTGACGATGTGTTTGTGGATGCCGTCAGCCTCAAAACATCCTCCTCGGAGTGCCAACGCAGAGAGCTGGTATCACAGAGAAATATGGCTGTGTATAAACCCAGTCAAGTTGAGAGTCATAAGAGTGACAAGGACTCTGACTCTCTAAGTTCCAGTGATTTGACTGATAGTGGATTTCTTGATGAGGGTGTGTGTAGCAGGGGGGGTGGGAGTCCATCACCAAGTCCAAGCAGTCCACATCCCGAGGGCGATAGAGACTCATTATTGAGCTCGTCAGTGGACAGCACTAGTCAAGAGGACACAAGCCTAGGATTATCTGTAGACAACAGTACCATGCAAAGTTCACTGCCTTCCATTCCACTTCTACCATGCACTCTACAGCAGACAGATTTGCTCCCATTGAATGAGCCTCCAAAGAGAGCACCACTCGCTGCTATGGAAAATGGTAGCTTTGACTCTGACAGTGAGGACAGTGAGTTGACAACACAGTCATCAGACTCCACCCACAGTGACGAGATCCGCATCACTACCGAGCAGTACGAACCAAGACCTGCCTGGGGATCAAAGCAAGAACCAGCAGAGGTCACGATTAACTCCAAGGCTTTAACCTCGTCGGGTTCTCCGGGAACCGGCTAGAAAACTAGGCAAAAGTACTAAGTCCTTGAATGAATTTTCAATGTGATACAGTAAGAAAATTTGTACTTTACCTCTACAGCAGCAATTAAGTATGGTTGTGTTGACTAGGCAGTTATTTAGCCATCTACTAAGTTCAGAGAAATTGTGGCAGCAGTGCTGTCACTAACTGTAATCAGTGTCATTTATATGATGTATTAATCATACACAATTTACCTCACTGGCTCTCATTTCTAGCTGATGCCCTCTGCCAGATGACTGTTATTACTGTGTGTGCCTGGAGTAGTGGGGTGTTGACTATTATACCTTACTCCCCTGGGTAGCTGGGCTGATCTTCTGGTCTCCCGTCCTTCCCTGTTACACTCGCTGTACAGTACTGTACTGTACTCAAGGTTAGGAGAGTAGATGCAAAGGTTGCCTTCTCAGGACTCTTGGTGTCTAAGGTGATTTAGTGTACCTGGTTGTAATTTTCTCGTATAAATCGCCATTAGACGTAAGGAAAAGGAGATGTGGTCACCCAATCTTAAACTCCTCCCTTTTAACTAATGGGAATGCTTGGTTCCTTTATTTTGGTGGGGAGGTCTTTTGTGTCTTCCAGACAACAGTGTTGAACATTTGGGCAGATGCTTTATTTAGGTACATTATCTGTTGTTACTTCCTGATTTACTTAATGGATTTATTATCAATGGTGGGTGATCACAAGTTTCCAGCTTGTTTATCACCCGTCCCACAGTGTACTACCCATTGGCTGGTTGCTTTCAACTTGGATTGGAAATTTTGGAATTTGACATCCATCTTCTCCTTCCATTTCCAGGCTGTTTGAAAGCTTAAACTGTGCCATGGCATTTCACATTTTGTCGCGTCTCTTTGGCGCAGGAAGAATTGTTTTTTTCTCGTGTTTCATCTTTTTCTGAAGCCTCTTGCACTGTTGTGTCAGCAGGTACTATTTTATATACTGTACATCATGTTTAGATCTTATAAGGTCCTGATGGGTCCCTAGTTTTTGATGGGGTAAGTTACTTTTTGTTTTAAGGGTGAAATACCCGAGGGTCTTTGCTGTGTAGACTATGTTGTTGTATTGCCTCCTGCTCTGGGTCTGGCATCATTTATCTTGAGTGGAGTTTAGTGGGGCTTTTTCCCTTCTGCCTTCACTTTCTTCTAACTCAATCTGCACTGGACTGGTTCAAGGGATCTTGGAGACGGTTTCACTATGACCCGTCTCCGAGAGAACACATTATGCCCACTGTTGTTGAGACTCAGAATACCGATGGCTGCTAATGTTCCTAGAGGCTTCAGGATGTCATTGGTTGACACAGTACTCAAGTCCTTCAGTGCTGCATGGTTGAAGTAGCTCTTCCAGTCCTGAAGAGTTTGTACTCCCATTTTCAATTTTTTGTGATGGCTGTTGTAACAAGAGCTGCTTCAGAGGGCATCAGCTACATACTGTATAGGAGAATGATCCTAAAATCTGATTTTTTTTAGTGAAGCTCATACTCAAGCAGCTCGGCCTCCCTCTCCCTACCTTAGGTTCTTGCACGGTTACCTTGGAAACTGAATGTGAATCAAGATGACTGATTGTTCCTGGAAACATAGTGGATGTACTTAGGTGAGTGTGTATACTGATTGTGTTGACAACATGCTCTGTTAAGAGGTCGTGGCCTGAGAAGGTAACCTTGGCATTTAATCTTCCTCACTTAAGGTGTATTAATGTGACAGGGAAGGATGGAGCTCTCTCTTCACCACCAGCACACACACAGCAGCAACATGGCTATAGACTAGGCTAGAAAATAGGATAACAGGATCACTTCCCCATTTTTAATATCAAAAAAATTTCCTTATTTTTTGTCAAAGAGAATTATGGACATCTTTTATTTTCTTGTTTTGAAATTGCAGTACAGTAGTTATATGGAAATTACTTCATTGTTAACAAAATACCTGTAATGGTTTAGAGTGAAGTCAGTAATTAAAATTACCATTTTCATTAACTACAGGTACATGAAATTTTCTTTAGAGTTTGTGATACAAGTCTCAGTTTGATCAAATATATATTAATATTATTTTAATGTTTTCTGTCATTCTGATAAAATATATTTACTGTGTCATGTAAGCTGGTAAATCAACTACAAGCAGAACATTAAAGGAAATAGCAGACAGCTTTAGCTTTTATTTCTTTTAATGTCTTGTGGTCAGTTGTGATATACTGTACTGTACTCTATATGTGTTGCATTACCTCGTTTGAAGCTGCTTTATTAGTGTAACCCCCTTTAAGAATGCAGTGAGAGTAATCATTGATTCAATACTGTACAATGTAATTAATGTGGTTTACAAGAGATTCTTTATTATGTTTTAACACTTTATTTTGATTGTTTTCTCCACACAAAAGCTTTAAACAGTACTAAAACATCTTACTTAATGAGATCATCATTGTGCCATAGAAATATAAATCTTCATACACCTGAATGTTCATATCACAAATCAAGAGTTGTCTTTATGTGCAAATTATAGCCACTCCAGTGTCCTGAGGAGGATGAGATGCATTTTGTAGTTGGTGAGATGTGGTATGCATGTTGTGGGCACGACTGTAAGGTACTGTGTTTCTGCTTTTCCCTCTTCTGTTTCTCATGTTTAAATTCTCATCATTTGGATTTTAACAGAGGCAAACTACACTTATGATCAACAAAGACATATTGAGAGTTTCCTATGAAGTCTTTCTCAGAATCATGAAAATACTGGTAAATACTTTTTCAGATATCAAGGACAAGTGTGGTGTGTGTTTTAGCATAGCAAGTCTTAAATTGATATAACTGTGTCAACAAATATTATGGGCTCACAAGTACAAAAAATAAACTCCGTGTTGAATTACCTATTTTCCCTTCTTGAATGTCCTATCCCTTATTTTTCTCTCTCTCTCTCTCTCTTAAGATATTTTTTTAATTCTATATGTTCTTAAGGGAATCTTTGGGCCTTCCTTTGAATACACAGAAAAATTATCATCGTCTGAAAAGTCATTTACAAAGTCATTGTCTTAAAGAACTCGCGTGCAAAAGTTTTTAGTACAGAACCTTGCAGATGAGCTCGGGGATCACCACAAGGGGCCGCCATGTTTTGTTTTCATTCCGCCATGCTTGGATTCTTTGCGCTGCAGAAAAAAAAATGTCCGCCATGCTTCAAAATTCGTAAGGTGTGTAAAAAATGTATTTGTTTATAGTCTTTTCCCAGATACAGTATATGAGTGACGGTAAACGGTAATTGCCTCCGATAATGCCAGTATTTCTTGGGGTCAGCCGTCATGTTGGTTTATCAAGTAATTGAACTCTGAGTGTGTAAGCTAGTATTGTCACATCGATAAACCTCTTCGGATACTTCCACCCTTGAGGAATTTTCTCTGGTGATCCCTGGAATTTGTAAGGAATTAAGAGTGTCTCATTATCAAATAAAGTCACATGACAACTGTGTATGTGCTAACTTTTCTCAAAACTTCTGGGTGATGTATGAGCACTTTTGATTATGTTCCTCAATGAATGTCCTACTGTAAGCCACCCCAACTGTAGCAAAACTTTGAAATTGTTACTTTGTCTCTTGAGCAAGGTTTATGTACAAGACTTAAGGAACAACTAAAAACATTGCAGCCAAGTTTGCTTCTGTACTATGCCTATATATTGGTAGGTTGTTATGTAATGTCTTATATACAGGCATAAATGGCTATACTGTAAATGGTTTATGTAGGATAATACATTTGAGATTTTAATTTCATGATCACAAAGCAGATGGTATGATATGCAGTACTAGACCTTTACTCTGCTTGCTTGTTCTGTACAGTGTTTGTGATTACCATGAGACTGATACAATTCTGATTTGTTATTTACTGTCTTTTGGTTTACCAAGATTTGCCAGCACCAGTCTTGTTCCTAGAAATATTGCAAAGTAGCCTTTACCAACAGAGGTAACTGGTCCATCAAATACTGGTGCTACTTGTTGAATAATTATAAAATTCAGTGCTTTTTTATTATTATTTCCTGATCGAAAATGAACATAATAGCTTTGGGAAATTTGTAGAATTAGACTAGCGAAAAAAAAAAGACTAGCTGAGTTTTATTGATGAGATTAAGCGAAGCAACAAAGAGGTAGAGGGTGGCATTTTCTTGGTTATGAAGGCTGGTAGCTGCTACACGTGAGCTAGTGTCAAGCTCCGGTGACTGGTACAAATCCATCAATCATGGTGAGGACGGGTTGTGTGGCTCTGGCTCACACTTCAGTGGGGGAAGTAAGAGCTTCTGCCATTGAAGAAGAGTCGTGAGGATCATTTTCCTGTGTCTCGTCATATTTAGAGCAGTGTTACAGTTATTGCCACAAGTACATTGTTTCCATGTTTAGAGTGCTATACTTTGTAATATGTTTATAAACATTCTATTGATTGCCTGTTTTTAAATATTTTGTACTTTTCATACTGGTAATGGATGGCATGTTCAGAACCTTGTAAATTTCAAAACATTTTTCAGTAATTAGACCTGTGCATTTTATATTACCGAAGTTTTTTGTAAATGAAGTACCTTATGTCTTACCAGTGTTGTGTTTACGGAGTGAAGACACTTTTGTCGTTCATCTGTTTAAAACAATAATCATAAATATTTTCTTCAATTTGAAACTCTTGCTTTTTGCCTCCCCAAAGCAAGGATCATGTACAAGAATAAGGAACAGCTTCTGTGACAAGAGCACCCTTTTTGATCCACATGTAAATTCAGTTAATTCTCCGCTCCAGTTCGCAACCGGTGAGACATTGTGTTTGGAGGACCTCAAGTGAGGATCAGAATTGGTGTTGGTGTCAGCACTATTGCGTTGCATGTACAGATGTATAAAATATGTAGAGCTGTGATCACGGTATGCTAGCTGAGCTCCACCACTTACCTGGATGTTATGTTGTAATTTTTTTTTGGGGGGTAAAATGGCCTTAAACGGGCGATTGCTTCCGCCACTGCAACCATCCTGACCTACATCATGACCACTTCCATGCTCACTTATAATTTATTTATTAATTCTTCTACAACACCATCTAGCATCATACCAAATATACCCAGGAGTGTTGGATTTATTTTTATCACACAGAGCTGTATCTGTACTGTACGCATTGTTCATATAAGACTGGTGCAAGAAGAAATTGTGTTGGGCCTTTGATTTATAGATATATATAATCTTCAAAACAGTGGAATGGCTTAAAAGGGGACCTGCAGTGTGCCAGCCCTCCTTAGTTGTTTATATTCGGGAAAATCTAAAGGTAACATTTATTGATGGACTATATGTGAATTATTCATGGTAAAGTAGTAATTCTTATAATTGTTTTGAATATTATTGTCACTGAACTGGAATATTAGGTGGTGTCTGGAGCAGTTTTTTAAGTTGGAAACTAGGTGAAATTTTACCAAGGCTCTTAAGAAACCACCCATCCATGAAGCAGGTTTTCATGCTGTAAAAGAACTTCACAATTTCTTTTTGAACTAAGAATAAGTGAAACAAAGCGAGCGTTAGGAAGAGACCATTGAGGAATCTGTCGTAGTGATGCTAGAAGAGTACTTGTCAACATTGTCCTTGGAGACGTGGGTAGGTGATGTGGTGTGTGTGTGTGATTGTGGACATCTGCCTCATCTTCAGGCAGCACCAGACTCTCCTCACCCACATAGGGAGGATCAGAGAATATCTTGTTATTGTTGTTGTTGAAAGTTTTATTACATATATTAAAGCAACTAGGTGCTCTATCCTTACCTAAGCTGGGAACCTTGATAGCTGTGTTATACCTTCACCCGGTTTTATGCAGGTGTATTGATTTAACGAGTACATATTTACCCTAGAGGAATGGTTTTAGGTTGTAACCCATGTTTGTAATGTCTTAGTGACGTATCCTTTGTCTCACAATCTTGGGAGCTGTCCTCTCAGTGTTGTTCTTGTCATTACGGATCCTCAGAGGTGACTAGAAGATGGCTGCAAAATAGTAAACATTGGGAACATGGGGGTTTTGGTGCTTTGTAAGGGTTGGGATGGTGCGGTTGTGTGTACTACATATATCAAGTGGTACAAATATTTTTCAATTGGATATTTGCTTGCTTGAGATAGTGTTAAATGATAATGATCCTGAAACTACTAGAAATGGACAGTCATCTTCACTGTTTAACTTTATGAATTAGCTAATTATGCTCTTAACCTCAGGTGTTTAAAAGACTCAGGATTGCTCATACAAACTGTCATTCACCTAAGTGTAAAGTAAACATTTCTGAATAAACAGTAAAAATAATTCAAAAATATAATATTTATATATATTAAGTTAAAGTTTTATGAGGGGTAACTGCGTGCTTCACTTGAGGGATGCACATCAGAGCGCAAACCCCGTGTGATGCAGAACTTTGACGGTGACTTGTGACCTTTATGTTTGACCTTACTCCAAAATCAAACAGTTCTTCCTTGGCCAATACCCAAGCCATCAGCCGAGTTTCATCCTTGTAGGTCAATCCATTGTTTTAGATATTTTCTTCAAGACACATGGACTAATTAAAAACAGTAGCTGTTAATAATAGACTTAAACTGTGAACATTTTGTATAAAGACCAGGAAACTGGCAGGTCTCCTCTCTCAGCAGCATTCTCTTTGGATTGCATGAAGGCACCATACTGAATATCCCAAGATGTATAGAAGGTATTTTATAGCTCGGTCATTCATGCAAGTACTGTAGTTGTTGATGTCAGAGTTGCAAAAATATTTCTAATATTATCTGTTCACTGAACCACTGTCTAGAATAGGAGCAGAATATAAGGATAAATCATCATCACCCTTCATCACTACCTTGTCGTTATTTCACAACTGCGATCCCCCCCTCCCCCACTCTGGCCAATGAGTTGTTACAGATTTTATCTTGAATATTGATGGCCATTCTCAGGAGGACTTCCAAGATCTATAGATACACTCAGGACCTACTTCAGTGCATATTCTATGTTTTAGCTCAAAATGTATGAAAACCTACGAACTCACTTGTCGTGTTTGAATGGGAAGGGGGAGTGAAGGTACGTTCCCTTTTTGTGGAAATGTATTTTTGCAAGATTTTGTAAGTACAGATACTAAGTAGTATGTCAAAACTTTTCCATAAAAGTTTTACACAAAGGGGAATGCCCTAAGAAAGGGATAGTGTTATCATGAGATGTGATGGTGCCCAGCCCTTTATACTGTCATTAAAAGATATATATGTTTGAAATAATACATATTTTCTTGGCGTCATTACTGTCCATGCACTACTCAGTCCTATCTCAAGTTTAGTTTCCATTTTCCCAAAGACATAAAGTCAATCATGAATACAATTAACCCATGACTCACCCTGACACTCACTCGGTTCACATGAGCACTTTTAGTTATAGTGGAATGCATGGTCATCTCAACCAATCATCAGATAGCATATTCAGAGCATAGTTCTCGCCAATAACCCATTACCTCACATAGACAACTTCATGTGTGTCTCCTTCACAGTAAGCACACGGTAGCTGTACTTTTGACAGCTTCTTGGAGTCCTTCTTGTTGCCCTGGACAAAAGAAGAGAAGCATCATCCCCACAGGGTACTTACTCATACAGTTTTAGTTATATTTTATTACTATACATAATTAAGCGTAGATTTTTTTTGTCGAGTAAACTTAAACTGTTTGTTTACCTCATGGTTGAAAATATTCTGGTTGATCTCTGACTTTTATGAGAATTTGTTAGGTTGTATTTGTTGTAATTATCAAATGTTATTTTAGACCAGCAAATCCTCTTAAGTAAATTACTTTTAAACATGCAGGGTACATATTTTGAATTATAATAAGCCTTCAATCATATTAGTTTTTAGTAATTTTGAATTGATAGTGAAACTGTAATTTACCATTGCAAGTCTTAATGTATTATTTACATTTTATATTGTATTTACAAAGAGTGTTGTATGGAAGTAAAAGTTAAGTATAATTGTTATGAAACTTACAGCAAAATCTGGTACATTAACCTGCACAACCATAATCCCGATGGGTCATAAGGCAATAGTTTCCAGTAGTATATTTTATGATTTATAAAAGACATCATTTAACCATAAGATTGTATGCTATTTATGTCATATAGGTATTTATTTCTTTAGATTATATAGACACTGCTGGTGCATTGCAAGTGGTGTTATTTATTGCTGTATATTGCGAGAGAAGTTGGGCACATGTTATAACCTTAAATATTGCAGTACTGTAAGTGTGCAGGTAATGTAAGTCTTAGTGCTGTACTGTATATTGAAGAGTAGGGATATTATCACATTGAAATCATGATGTAATATACTGTGTGTATGTATGTATATATTTGCATATGTATATTCATGTATATATATACACATACACAAAGAAGAGATTTAGAGTTGAACTGATATATTTATCACATTGTAGCCGTGTGTTATGGTGGTGGTCGAGCATGGTGTAGGTCATGTGTGGGAGGTGCCCCAATGTACACACACACACAAAGTTAAACTTGTGAAACACGGGTGTATGGGAGGAAGGAAAGGAGAGGCTATGAAAGCACTAGATATGTTTTGTGAGGCGTTGGACTGTGGCATTGAGGTAGGAAGGTCATGTTGGATGTTTATAAGGCAGCACATAGGAGGAACAAGACTACTGTAGGTGTGTAGGGCGGCAACATCCAGGGTGGTGGTGGTGAGGCGTCAGTTGAGCTGTGATAGCCAGGTAGTGACCACCCTGCAGAACAATAAACTACCCACATTATCATTTGGGGTTTTATTCTCCTATTGCTGTGACTATGAGACACTTTTTTTGTATCCACCTCTTATTTTCCTCATCATTACCTGTATGGATTTAGCTTTGCTCCACATATTGCTCAGAAAGTACTATATACTGTACTGTACGCCATCTGTAATAAGTGCGGGGGGGAGGGGGGGTTGAAATACAGACAGACATTTTCTTCAGTAATATCATCAACTACTGCAAGAGATTCACTCCCTTTGAAATATTCACTAATCTCATATTAAAATCCACACAAGACATAAGTTGTAGCAAACTCACCTCTCACTGCTGTCTTGGATCAGTGATGAAAGGGAATATCCAATCTGACCCTAATGAACAAGACAGGATTTCTTTAAGTACTCACGTTTACTGCTGTACTGAACCAACACTGAACCCATTGAGAATAAATTTATCTATACAGTAATATGAGGAACACACCACTTGTGCTTTTTCTCATCTTGGGGAAATTAAAATGCATTTCCAGATTTGTTTTCCTCTCGACTGTGATGCCGACAAGGCCACTGGAGGTTGGTGAATCCTGTTTTCTTGCTTTGGTGTTTTGGTGTAGTTTAATTAGTTCTTCCTTCTAGAATCTGGATAAACACGTTCTTCCTCTTAGATAAACAAGGTCTTCATTCTAGATAACAAGTTCTTCCTTCTAGATAAACAAGTTCTTCATTCTAGATAAAAAAGTTCTTCCTTCTAGATAAACAAGTTCTTCCTTCTAGATAAACAAGTTCTTCCTTCTAGATAAACAAGTTCTTCATTCTAGATAAAAAAGTTCTTCCTTCTAGATAAACAAGTTCTTCCTTCTAGATAAACAAGTTCTTCATTCTAGATAAAAAAGTTCTTCCTTCTAGATAAACAAGTTCTTCCTTCTAGATAAACAAGTTCTTCATTCTAGATAAAAAAGTTCTTCCTTCTAAATAAACAAGTTCTTCCTTCTAGATAAACAAGTTCTTCCTTCTAAATAAACAAGTTCTTCCTTCTAGATAAACAAGTTCTTCCTTCTAGATAAACAAGTTCTTCATTCTAGATAAACAAGTTCTTCATTCTAAATAAACAAGTTCTTCCTTCTAGATAAACAAGTTCTTCATTCTAGATAAACAAGTTCTTCCTTCTAGATAAACAAGTTCTTCCTTCTAGATAAACAAGTTCTTCCTTCTAAATAAACAAGTTCTTCCTTCTAAATAAACAAGATAAGTTCTTCCTTCTAGATAAACAAGTTCTTCATTCTAGATAAACAAGTTCTTCCTTCTAAATAAACAAGTTCTTCCTTCTAGTTCTTCCAAGTTCTTCATTCTAGATAAACAAGTTCTTCCTTCTAGATAAACAAGTTCTTCCTTCTAGATAAACAAGTTCTTCCTTCTAAATAAACAAATTCTTCCTTCTAGATAAACAAGTTCTTCCTTCTAGATAAACAAGTTCTTCATTCTAGATAAACAAGTTCTTCCTTCTAAATAAACAAGTTCTTCATTCTAGATAAACAAGTTCTTCCTTCTAGATAAACAAGTTCTTCATTCTAGATAAACAAGTTCTTCCTTCTAAATAAACAAGTTCTTCCTTCTAGATAAACAAGTTCTTCATTCTAGATAAACAAGTTCTTCCTTCTAAATAAACAAGTTCTTCATTCTAGAAAAACAAGTTCTTCCTTCTAGATAAACAAGTTCTTCCTTCTAGATAAATAAGTAATTAAATAACCAGTGTGAAGTATTTTTAAAGGGGTGAAATTTCTTTGTTCATCAGTGTCTTGTTGCCTGACGTACAAATATTTTATTATCTGTTGCGTATATAAGAAATTATTGCACGAGTTTTGATGTAATGGAGTGCCTTTTGAATTTCTATGTATATGTACACACTTTAATTTATCTGATGATGATTTAAATAGAAATTAAATGAATGCACGATTATGTTTGTTGCATCTCTGGTTAGCGAATCAACCAATCAGACGCCGTCATGATCGCCATTTAGTACAGACAAGATGGCGCCTGTGTGACTTCGACTCATTCACGGAGGTTTGTACTTTGAGCGAAAACGACAAGAACAATCGTCATACTTCACAAATTACGTAAGTATTGGATGGACTGTATATCATACTTCTAATATACGTGTTCAATGAATTATCAATGAATTTTGAAGTAGAATGGGAGCTGGTTTGTCGTTCATGTGAGAAGCAACTGCAATAGTCACTTCTGTCTACTTGTTGGCGGGCGACGATGACCGGCACCATTTGGAGAATTATACATGCACCTTCGTTTTGAATTAATCACGGTGTGCCTTCGTAGTCGCCGTTAACAATACTATACTGCTTAGGGACACAAACGCCCGCGTGTGTGAGGCATCAATGGACGAAATATTTTCAGCAAGTTATAATTTTCCAGCAGTGCCAACATCTTGCCATTAAGTGAATACTCCTTACCTCTATATTCCTGTTATCGCGAGTGATTGAAAGTGTTATCTAGTGATTGTGTTGAGGCACTTCCCCAGATGAGCTTTGAACCACACAGTGACTGCCTTACTTAAGTGCACGACCGCTGTAGCTAAAGCAACTGTGAAATTATTAATACTGTATTTAAACTGAAAATTAACAAATCCACCAAGAAAGGATACCATTAGAGTGTCGACTGACCCAACTCGTGTAAAAAATAACTTAAGAAATCAGAAGTGAAGAGATCACTTGAAAATGTATTTACACGCAATAGAAATCTCCACACTCGCACTGATTCTCGGAGTAACCGCAGTGGGTAGTCAGGTAATAGGTAAGTTGATACATATACTACCACAGTTTTATAATCATGACGCCACAAGCAGATCCAGAATTGGTAAAATTATAGTTTCAGTCATCCCTGTATTTAGATATCCAAACAAACCTAACCGATTCCCTGGATGACCGAATTTTTTATTGCTGAGTAGACTAATAAATATTAACTGGGACTCTTATATAAGTAGCAGGTGGGTTTATAAAGTGGCTAGAATGCATCAGTCACTAAGAATGAGGTTAGGTTAGACATTTTACCGCGTTTAATTAATCAGAATAATGAGACCTGAAGTTGATAGACTTTCCCTATGGCTGAGGGTAAGTAATCTCCCAGACAGTCAGGAGAGACATCCATAGAGCTAATTAAAACCGCCAACAAGAGTAAATAATGTTTATTTCCCGTGGGCAGGTAGTGAGGAGAGGTGCTATGGAGAGTTGGGTTGCCTGGTGTTGGATGGGCAGTGGTGGCATCCATGGCGTCGCCCCATCAACCTCTGGCCTTATGACCCTGCAGTTATCAACACCACCTTCACCCTCCACACCAGACCAGCGCCCTCGGTAAGTACATGAGAGATATATACCGGTAGATAGATAGAGAAAATACCGGTAGATAGATAGAGAAAATACCGGTAGATAGAGAGAACACATCCTACTGTTTATATTAATCGCCACACCTGAAATCTATCATGTGTTAGTGGGTGTTTGAGAAGGGACAGTCTGCAATAAACAAAAATATAAATATCGTGACGTCACCTCAAACCCCCTGTAAGAATGGACTTGGTACCTGTGGATTGGTTGGTAATTTTATTGATAGTGTGTAGGTGTGTTTATTGGGTATATAAACGTATTTGTTTATGTGTGTTTTTCTGTTGTGCATTTTAGAGGGAGAAAGGGATTTGTGATTATGAAACACACCCACACGTCTATCAACAGTTGTGTGTCATTAGTACATGTTGGTTATCAACTTATCAGTCATATCACACACGACTGAAGTCTTGGGGCGAGTTACTCCACGCTTCCTCCATCTCAGCTGTCAGGAAGCCTCGCGCCTCCTGACACCGGGCACGAGATAGAAAGATTACAACACGTAGTAACAAGGTAATAGTTGATAACAGTTGCTGAGTGTGCTTGAAGGTGCCTAGTTTATTGTCTCTCTCTTCCTCTTTCCCTCTCATCCACACGTCATTAACCACCAACACAGCTTATCACTTACTGTTATCTTGTTTGTCCCTGTGTCTGTATTAATGCGTTTGAAGTCTAATGATGCTTTATTCATTTGTTTTCATGCGGGGTAAAGCATTTTTTTGTATAGTTTACTTGTACAAGTTCCTCACGGCCCCGTTACCATCAGCACCAGCAGTACCAGCTGAAGAAGAGGGAGGTGGTTCTTCTACACCCTGAAGACCATCTCTCCCTGGCTCTTTCCCCGCTAGACGCCACTAAACCCACTAAGGTGATCATCCACAGCTACCACGAGAACCTCAACACTCCCTGGGTCGAGGTTCGTCACCCTAAAGAATTTAAGTTATATTTTTTAGCTCCACCTAACCGGTTATAATATTTTTGTCTACGTACATAAGGAAATTTTATTGAACGAACCAATTTTAAATCCGAGTGTTGATTACGTTAGTGTGTTATCCCACCACACCGTTACCCACCCATGTACAGTATTTAGACCATGATCCCACCCCACAGGAGCTGACGGAGGCGCTGCTGCAGTATGGTGACTATAACGTGATCGTTGTTAACTGGGCCGGCGGCTCCAGCACTTACTACCTTCAGGTAACACTACGTTCTTCATTAATACACTCGCGGTCATAGAGAAGTTTAGCATTTTCTTACACCCGTATATGATTAGATTTACAAATTATTGATGGGAGTATCCGCTTTTCTCGTCTCTAGTACCGTCTCTGCGTTTACATCCACCCCTGTATTGTACTTATCCTAAACCTGCCAGAGTGTTTCTGTGTTAAAGTAATCTTATGACGGGTGTGGTGTTCCTCGGCAGGCGGTGGCTAATGCTCGGCTGGTGGGACTGGAGCTGACACACCTACTGCTCACCCTCCAACACACCATCAACCTCCCGCCACACTCACTACACCTCATCGGCTATGCTCTCGGGGCTCACATCGCTGGTAAGTACACCCTCCTGAGTACTACACACACACACACACACACACACACACACACACACACACACACTCAATACAAACAATCAGTAATGCACGTAATACACTGCTGACGCATGCCCCGGGTTCTCTTCACTTCTTCAGGTTATGCCGGGGAGCGTGTGGCCGAGTTGGGTCGAATCACAGGATTGTCGCCACCAGCGTTGTTCTTTGAGGAGCTTCCGCCAGTAGTGCGCCTCGACGAACGTGACGCTGCCTTTGTTGACGTCATCCACACCAACATAAACGGTCACTATTTACTTCTACCTCGTGTTAGATTAAATAATTATGGTGTTTTAAGTTTGACTGAGACGATGACGGCAATATTAGTATCGGTATGTTGGTCCTTTATGAAGATTCCTAGAGATTCCCGACACATTTCACCTAAAGATTAACCACCCTAACGCTAAACAGACCCCCTAAAAATACATACCTCACTATTATTGTTCGTGATAATACAGTAATATTAATTGAATATCATGACAGGCCATGGGATATCACAGCGTTGTGGCACTGTGGATTTCTACCCCAACGGTGGCGAAGAGCAGCCAGGGTGTGGACGACACACTACAGAAAACCGTGACATGTTTCGGGTAGACTTAACTAACGTTATGTCCCAGCAGTCATGTAGCAGGATGCGTGCCCTCGACCTGTTCCTCACTTCTCTCACGTGTCCTGCCTGTTTCCTCGGTCATGAATGTACTGATAAATACTTGTATGCCTACGTAAGTAAAATGAAAAATGTAGGAATGAATTTGTATTGGCTTGTGTTGTTTAATTATTATTTTTTAATTCAACTTGGGGATTGATATACAGTACAGCTTAGCGTAAGAAGTAACTACAAACTAATTATTATATAACGTATATTTTAGTGTTTTAAAATTGACGTTTAATCATGTTTCATATACAGTACTTGTATATAAAACCTCGAAGCAGAACTAAAAAATGATATGAAAAATTAAATTATCCTCATCGGTAACTTAATGTTTTGGCCAGTGCGTAATTTCTTCACCAGTAATTATTCTTCCTGCAGGGGATGTGTTACGTGTGTGGGGAGCCGAATAACCACTGTGGGTACTTGGGTATCAGAGCTCAAGAATTCCTGGTACAGCGGAGAGAACGTTTGGCTCTTTACATCTTCACCTCCGACACCCATCCCTACCACGGTAACCACACACATCAACCTGGCTATTGGTTGGCCAACACTCAGGCCCCCAGTTCTAACTTCAACCACTAATATGGTCCTCCAGTTCTAACTGTAAACACTAGTATGGACCCCCAGTTCTAGCTTTAACCACTAGTATGGGCCCCCCAGTTCTAACATTAACCACTAGTACGGGCCCCCAATTCTAGCTTTAACCACTGGTATGGGCCCCCAGTTCTAACTTTAACCACTAGTATGGGCCCCCCAGTTCTAACTTTAACCACTAGTATGGGCCCCCAGTTCTAACATTAACCGCTAGTATGGGCCCCCAGTTCTAGCTTTAACCACTAGTATGGGCCCCCAGTTCTAACATTAACCACTAGTTTTGTGATCCCATAGAACTAAAGGCCTGTTAGGTTTGGGCCCATGTCTTGGTATTAATAATGTTACGATAATGCATCTATTGATTTTATATAACACACAGCACTACACTTACCCATAATACTAATTCGATTTCATAAACGTCGTCCCCTTGTAATGTAAAAAAAAAATACAATAAGCTTATGAACAGGTAAATGTGTGCTTTAATATTCACTGTATTTTTTCTTCCTCTAGTTTATTCCTATCGCGTGTGGTTCAACCTGGCGCATCCTGTAGGGGCAGAGGATTCGGTTGAAGGCCAGCTGACTGTTACACTGAAGGGCGACAACACCACCGTCACCACTACTCTCCCTGGGTCAGTACCACACACACACTCAGGTTTTATCAAGGTACAGTGTTCTGGTTCCCTCCTGTACTTAACACTGGATATTAAAGTACATAAACTAATAAAGGGACCAACACTTAACCCTTTGAGCATAATGGTTTAACCCTTTGTGGATGATGTTTTAACACCTTTAACCCTTTGTGGATGATGTTTTAACCCTTTAACCCAGGAAAAAAATATGCTCTCGCCAGGGCTCGAACCTGGGACCTTCTGCGTGTAAAGCAGACGTGATAACCACTACACTACGAGAGCTGTGTATTGTGTAGGGATATATTGAGTTTATATCAGTATGTATGATGTATATATTTTGACTTGTATTAGTTTGTCATTTTACACACATGTCATACACCAACTTCACCTATTGATCTCTCTCTGTCTCTCGTGTAAGTTATTGTAAATCTTCCATCTAACCAATACAGAAGAGAGAGAGAGGAGCACAGGTAACACTTTTCTCATCACAGGTAGGGAATAGGTAATTACCCAGGTGTTAAGAGTATTGTACCAGGGTCGGTGGAGTGGTGTGTGTAGTGTGATCAGCTAGTACAGGTTAATGAGATAATATATTACAGGTATGGGAACTTAATAGTACAGGTGCAGTTACAAAGAGTTATATGTGTAGATAAAAATAGAGTTAAAAGGGTCACAGCTCAAGATTGAAGAAGCCGCAAGTCCGGAAAACCGTGAGGGCAAACTTTTTCGGAGTGAGGGTTGTAAACTCTTGGAACAATCTACCAGAAAGTGTTGTGACGGCACCGAGTGTGAGCTCTTTCAAGAGAAGACTTGACCAACACTGGAGCGGGTTCAGGTACATTCAGGAGCCGGTGCATGCCCAGTATTTGCCAACAGTGCGTGACAGAGACGTGACCGATCGCCCGGGCGGCTAGCGAGCCGACCTTTTGGTGAAGAATATAAAGGAAAAGAGTCGTGACCGATCGCCCAAGCGGCTAACAAGCCGATCAGTGGCGAAGAGGATAAAAGTAAAAAGTAAAAGGTACTGTATATATATTTCAGAATAATAATACATAAACAATGTTAAAATTTAATGCTTCACTGTACAAAAAACTAAGACAAAATCTCTCTCCTTCCACAGAACTCCAGTCTGGTTGAATCACGGTCAGCCTCGAGGATGGGTAGTAGGGTTGGAGGAGGACGTAGGAGCCGTAGTGGAGGTGGTGGTAGCGTGGGAGTATCAGGGCTCGAGCTGCCGTAACAACGAAGAATGTAACACAAGTCTCTACATTCAAACCATCAAAGTCACACCAATTGACTATCTCCCGGAAAGGTATTGGTTCACTTACTTTTTTATTTGACTTTTATTTCTACTTTTACTTTTATACTTATGCCTCTTTCTGTGTATTGAGAATCTGTACGATGTTGATGGGGTATAAATCTTCGTTTACCAGGGACCGCGAGGCCAACACAAGATTGGTATGTGGGGGAATTGACAACACTGAAGTGATCTCTGGTGGCTCCGTCAGGCTCATCCCCAAGGATACCTGTCAAGAGTGGTCTGTGTAGTTGGTGGTGACCTTTTTTAAGGCATTCTCACCAGTCAGAAGAAATGCGATCTATAGCCTAGTAGTGACAGTCGTGGAGATGATATAACTAGGCTCGTATCCTCTGAATAATAAATGGTTTCATGATTCTGTTATTTTATTATTTTAACCGACCATTTTTCCATCATCTAAATGCAGTGGATTTCAACTATTCCAAGTAAGCCTTCGTTATCAGAAGTGAAATGAGATGGTGAACTACTGAATATTTACCCAAATACTGTTACTAATTGTTAGTAATGTAGATTTGTTTTTAAGTTTTTCAGTAACGAAGAGGCTTAAAGAACTGATTGCTGTGTAATGGAGTCGTGACACCACCAAGAGACGACTGGACAAACCGTGAGCAGATCAAGAGGAACATGTTTACAAGACTCGGCCTAATGTACAGTAGCGTCACCATTCTGAAGATCTACACACACACACACACACACACACGTTATATTAGGTAAGTTAAGATGAGAATTAATTTAAAAGGAAAACTTGGTGGCTTGGTGGAGAGTAACAATATTAAGTCAGTTTTTCCTGTAGGACGCGGTGGTGTTATCTAGCGACGTGGATAGCGACGTGTAGTGGGAGACTCCGGTATGTTTACTTCGGGGATCAATGGTTTGCTTCTGTTATTCATAGTGGAGTATAGACTGATATCGTGAATAATGAGACTGGATAATGAATATAGTGATGATTAGAGAATGAAAATGGCTTTATTTACATAGTGACTTGTTAAATTATGGTGAAAACATTAATAGTGTAGTGTCAATGCTGGATAGATGTGATTGTAGTTCATATGTTAGTTGAGTTTACACCTGTGTATGGTATAATGAATGTCAGAAGAGATAACGAAATTGTTAAATAATAATAAAATGAAAACGGGAAATAATTTATAAAACGTAAACATTGATTATTTTCCAGAGTATGTTAATTATAATCATGAACATTATATTACAGGTCAGTGTAGAACATGTTATGGTTGTTATGGTGGGTGTTGTGTGTGGGCGGCGTGGGTGGTGGGCGGCTGATCACCCCTCATCCCATATTGGTTAGCCTGAGGGACACGCCCATGTCACCAAGACCTTCACTCAGGTACGTGTGTGTGTGTGTGTGTGTGTGTGTGTAAGTCTTCCGATCATCCTCATTCTTCATCGTTTGTACAGCCAATGACACACCATTATATCATTATATCATTATACCCCCTTGAATACAATAACCCAATCCCTTGAATATATACATTATACTTAGGGAGATCAAATCATCATACTTTAGGGATTAATCAGGTGAAAATAAGCTTAGGGGAGGGTAGAGGAGAGGTCTAATCAAGAAATCCATCTATGTGCGTTTTGTCTTGGTCAGATCACAGCTACGAGCGGCGGCCACAGACTTGAGAGGCACCTCTATCCTGCAGACATCCATGCAGATCTGTACCAACAACAATTCCATCAAATACTCCAACACGGAAGAGAGAGGTCAGTCTTATCTATTTTAAGTAACATTTACCTCCATTCAATATCTCGTTCCTATACCCTTTGAGAATGATGGTTAAAGTTAGTATTTCTTAACCTTTTTTTGTTTGTTTGTTTGAGCTCCTTCCCCTTCCTACCCTCTCTTCTTCCCTCCCCTCCTCTCCCCTTCCATCCCATCCCCTTATGATCAAACTTGAATCCATGGTCCCCTCCCCCCCCGATCTCTCAAGGACCTAAGAACATATTTCCTCCAAGTTCCGGTTTCACTCCACCTTTACTCCCATTCTAAATCCAAATAAAGAAAAATAGATTGAATTACCCAGGGATTGAGTTACGAGCTGTAATGTGATTGGTTAAACGTTATCATTACGGTTCCTTGACAGATAAGAGACGATTAATGCGGCTTATGTTCGGGCGTGATGGTCCCCCTCAGGATAAGGTGGTGGTCCTGGTGAAGATGATAAGAGATAGTGCCTTCGCCTTCATTCACGGCCTTCCGGTAGGTTTTTCCTGCTTGATGTTTACTGTACCATGTTAAGAAGACCATACCAAGCTTACTGTACTGTGTTAAAACAGACCACACTAAGCTTACTGTACTATGTTAAAGCAGACCACACCAAGCTTAAAGTATTGTAGTTATTATAGTAAGAACAGGTTGTGGTTGTTGTTGCATGAGTCACTAAACACAATGCTGTATTACAGGTGCTGCTCCACAACACAACGGACTTGATGTCTCCTATGGGCGTGGTGACTGTGTTAGTGGTACACCCAACCACGGCCCGTGTCCTGCGTACCTACCATCACCCAGCACTCGCCCACGCACGCCCACTCCACGCTTTCATAGACTCACTGCAACCTGGGCGTCTTTTGGTCATCGCTGGCTTGGTGAGAGAGAGAGAGAGAGAGAGAGAGAGAGAGACATTAATTACTTGTGTTATAATGCATAGAATTTACTTACAATATAATAGGCTAATAAGAGTAATTCTTACACAGGTGGTGTGGCTTGACCCCAGCGTCAGGTTATTCTTGAACCAGCTGGGGAACACCATACCTTCAGGAGCCAGCAGGAGTAACGTTGTTTGGGCGTGGGTGGGCGTGGTCAATGGCGGCACCTTGGGTCAAGTGGGCGGTGCTTGGGATGTCACCTCCAATTATACCCTCACACTGGAGCTGTACGTGACCAGGACCCCAGGTGAGGTAGATGGGGGGGGGGTGATGAACAGACAGACGGACGGGCGGATAGACAGACAGACAGGTGGTAAGGAAGATGAACTATTGGTAGGACAAGCAAAGAGACAGACGGATGAGTGGACAGATGATAGGGCAGACAGAGGCAGACAGATAGATGGTAAGGTAGATGAACTATTGGTAGGACAGAGAGACAGACAGACGGGCGGACAGACAGAGACACACGGACGGGCGGACAAATGTTAAGACAGACAGAGACAAACAGACAAAAAGTAAAACAAATGAACTACCCGATAGACAGGTAATTAGAAAGATCAACAGGTGACCAGTTAAAAATCTTACAGCAGATGTTACAATATTTCTTTAACCTCACAGAGAGTTAATCATCCTTAACTGACACATATTTACTTTTTTATAACACAGAGTTTAATTACTTATATATACCTGTGTTACCTGACAAGAATGACTTAATATTTATCTCATATGATTTATTTGTCCAGGTATATATATATGGTAAATAAACTCACATATGTGGCAATATATTCATGGAAAAATACCTTTACAGACAATCCTTGGTGTGGAGGTTTATCCCACCCGCCCAGGGAAGAGAGTGGGCGGTGGGCGGCGCGGGCGGAGCTGTGCCAGGACTATGATGGGTATGGAACATGGTGCTCTTGTCCTCCTCCTCCTCCACCAGCACCACAGCTCCACCACAGCTCCACCACCACAATGTTATGGGTGGGTATTTTGTTACTCGTTAGGTAGTGTTTTAAATCTTTCCTCTCTCTCTCTCTCTCTCTCTGGGGGCTAAATATGAGCTGGGGCCTATTTGGACTTGGGGCTAATATGAACCGGGGCTTATTTGAACTAGGGGCTGAATATGTACTGGGGCTAAATATGGAATGGGAGCTATTTGAACTTGGGGCTAAATATGGATCGGGGGCCTATTTAACGAGTCAATGTTTATTTTACGAACAGGAGGGGAGAGGAGCCCTGAAGGACGCCGTGACTATAGTATTGGCCAGCAGACCCGACGCACTACACAGGTAAGCGCACACACACACACACACACACACACACACACACACATTCACACTTACACTCTTCTTACAGGTTACAGCTACAGAAATTGTCTTATTATTTTACCTGTATTAAGAAACTGCAATACAGGTTACAGTCTACATATTTCATAATGATTCGTCTATGTATTAAATTAAAATACATAAATATAGGTACAGTTATTTAGTGAATAATTTTTCTATTAACCCCTTGAGTACAATAACTTAACCTCTTGAGTACATTGACTTAACTTGAGTACAATAACTTAACCCCTTGAGTACATTAACCCCTTGAGTACAATAACTTAACCTCTTGAGTACATTGACTTAACTTGAGTACAATAACTTAACCCCTTGAGTACATTGACTAACCTGAGTACAATAACTTAACCCTTTGAAAACATTCACTTAAACCCCATGAATACAAGGACTTTAACTCAAGAGTACGACAATTTAACCCCCTTGAGTAGAATCACTTAGTCTTTTGAATACAATGTCATCATACTCAAGGTGTCACAGTAAACAACAACACCACAGGTAGGGTGATTATGACGTCACAGGCTTATTAACAGGTGTGTGATAATCCAACAGGTTATTGCTATCAGTAAGAGCTGCAGGGGCGCCATCCTCCTCCATCAACGTCTTCGTCAGCGCCTCCTCCCATGAACTACGTAAGGTTAGTTCTCTTGCCTAATTACCCCACCCACCCCCACCCACCAGACGATTACCTGAAGATTAGACACCCCAGATTATTTGACATGATGTTTAAATACCCTAATGCTGTCCTAAGGGTTAGATTAGGTTACGTTAGGGTAGATTATATTACGTGACATTAGGTTAGGTTACATTAAGTTTGATTAGGTTAGGTTAGGTTAGGTTGCACACACACACACACACATATACACTCTATCTATCTATTTAACAATCTATCGATCTATCTGTCTTTATCTATCTATCTATCTGTCTATCTAACTGACTACGTATCTATCTATTAATCCATCTATCTATCTAGCTATCTATCTAACTAACTAACTAACTAACTAACTATCTAACTAACTAACTAACTAACTAACTAACTAACTAACTATCTATCTCTATCTATCTATCTTCAGTTATCGGTGTATGTGGCAAGACATTCCCGTAGACTTACATAAGAGAATGTGGTTTGTGTGCACCCAATCGTCTTCATAGTTGCTGAATCATTTATGGATCCCTTGAAGATTACCCCCACACACACACACACACACACACACACACACCTCACACACACCTCACACACACACACACACACACACACACACACACACACACACACACACACACACACACACACACACACATACACACACCTCACACACATCTCACTACCCCTGTCTTCCTTGGATATTTCACCTCATGAGTAGCTATCCTAACACAAACCTAACCTAATCCAACCTAAATCTAACCTATCCTAACCTAACCTTGCAATGCTTGGTATAGTCATCCACAACTCCCCAAACACTTCCCTACACCCCCCACACACACACCTCTATACACCTCCCTACACTCCTACACACCTGCCTCTTAGCACATGTGGCCATCTACAGGTGTGTGAGAGCCACGGGGTACAACTGGAGGAGACAGATCGCTCCTCAGACTGTGAAGGACTCCACGTGACCCGCCTCTATGAGTCCTCCATCATGACTACCCTCATCCTCAGACCTAAGCACCAGTTCTTTATTATCCTCGAGGACGACATGGAGGTCCTGCCTACTTTCTACAGGTGAGAGATACTGTTCCTTCTCTACTTTCTACAGGTGAGATAAAGGTCCTTCCTACTTTCTACAGGTGAGAGATGAGGATGTCTTCTCTACCTTTTATAGGGGAGAGATAAAGAGGTTGTCTCAATAATCTCTTGGGGGGGGGGGGTTCTCTCAAGTTAGGGTGGTTAAGGGTGTGACTCAAGGATGTGACTCAAAGGGTGTGACTACCAGACATCGTAGGCTTTCAGATATGCTAAATTCAAAACAAAAAAACAGACCAACTCCCCAAATGGTTAGTAAACTCTTAAGTGATAAAAGATAAATAAAAAATAATAATAACCCGGGTAACAATTGATGGATATAAGATCTTTCTAGCATCATGGACGAACACAAACGATATTAACCACAGTACATTCTCGTCGTCTACAGTACTACGAGGGTCAACCAAGGGGTGAGTACATCCTTGAACCACCACAATGGAATGTTTATCTTCTGGCTGGGGCATGAACAAACGTATCCTCAGACAGTAAACAACGTGTCCTGCGCAGTCTCCGTGCGCATGTGTGTTCCCGCGCGGCGTCCCACGTGTTGTGTCAGCTGATTCTTGGCGCCAACAACTGTTTACTACTCTATCTCTACCTACTGTACCTCTTTACCTCTATCTACCTCATGTGGCTCTCTACCTCTACCTTAAGTGGCTCTCTAAATACTGTACCTATCTACCTACCTCTTGCACCTCTCTACCTCTACCTCTTGCACCTCTCTACCTCTTGCACCTCTTTACCTCTACCTCTTGCACCTCTCTACCTCTACCTCTTGTACCTCTCTACCTCTACCTCTTGCACCTCTCTACCTCTACCTCTTGTCATACGTCATAGATGCATCTTCATTACTCCACTGGATATTAATTATTGGACCTATTTTGGGAGGGTGTTGGACTGTTGACCTTATTGGTGTGTGTTAAGTAAGGTGTTACCTAATCCAGCCTAATCTAACCTGTCCCAACCTAATTTAACCTAACCTAGCCTAATCTAACCTCTCCCAACATACTTTAACCTGTCCCAACCTAATCTAACCTTTCCCAACCTAACCTAGCCTTATCTAACCTGTTCCAACCTAATTTAACCTGTCCCAACCTAATCTAACCTTTCCCAACCTAACCTAGCCTAATCTAACTTATCCCCACCTAATCTAACATATTCCAACCTAATCTAACGTGTCCCAACCTAATCTAACATATGCCAACCTAATCTAACGTATCCCAACCTAATCTAACCTGTCCCAACCTAGTCTAACGTATCCCAACCTAATCTAACCTGTCCCAACCTAATCTAACATATTCCAACCTAATCTAACGTATCCCAACCTAATCTAACGTATCCCAACCTAATCTAACCTGTCCCAACCTAATCTAACATATTCCAACCTAATCTAACGTATCCCAACCTAATCATAACAATAATAATGTTAGTTAAAATATAATTAATAACACCTACATATACACTCCTTTAACACACACACACACACACACACACACACACACACAAGTACATACACACGTACACACATACGTACATGACCTACGAGTTCTTCCGCCATACAACTCTACAAGTAAAGACGAACTGCTTCACCTAACATAAATTTCATTTCAGTATAACGATCGCCACAGCAGGAAAACGTTCGCCAGGCACTAAACTGACGAAGGATTTTTGGTTATCTCCTGTAGGTGGATGGCTCGAGGTCGTCGCCTGTTACATACGTCACAGGAGTATGTGTGTGTCAACAGCCTGAGGCACGACCAACCTTATGCCCTGTACAGCTACCACCTCCCAGCGACTGCCCTCAACCAACACAACCATACTAGTGGTGTCCTTCCTCAACAAGTCCTCAGCCACCTCAACCATACTGCTGAAGGTAGGTCTTCCATTGGTGTTGTCAAAAGGTAATGTCACTAACTGGTGTCAATACAAGAACTACATATTAGTGGAGACAAACGTGAGGAGAATGCTATTGATGGTCGTCTGTCTTTTAATCGGATAAAAATAGTCGTAATAAAGTTTTAATCCAATATAAACTTTCAGGAGAAGGAGGTGGCATCTGGCGAAGTGGGTCCTACCATCCACAAGTGTCGAGGGAAGAGGATGATGTCTTGGTGAAGAAATATCCCAACCTGCAGGAGAAGAAGGCTGAAGATGTGAGGGAAGCAGTGAGGGAGGAGGGCGAGAGGTCTGGGTGGAGGTTCATGGCCGGGTGGGGAGCGGAGCGGCCAGTGGTGGAAGCTATGATCAGGTTTTGGCCTCTGGCAGTAAGTACCTCACTCTCTACCCTACCATTTCCCGCCGACTCCCTCCTCTAACTGCATTCTCATAAAAAAAAAAACAACCATCTATCTAATTATCTAATATATAAAACCTTACATGACTCAAACCACTTAGTAAATTATGATGTTTAAAGCTCTAGATATTGTTTTTTGAGGAGAGTTGATTGAAAGGTGAATTAAGAATAAGGCAGGAATATGGTTAGGAGAGCGTTGCGTGCGGGGTCTCAGGATTCAGTAGGGTGGTGTTGGCTGCGTTAGCTCCTCCCGCACCAGTAGTATTATCGTCACCGGACAAAAACTGACTTCTAGCGGCACCACCATTGAACCTGCTAGCTCACTGGACCTCTCGAGAAACCTTAAATAATCCTTGCTTTTTTTTTCTTCTTTATTCTCTCTCTTTCTTTCTTTCTTTCTTTCTTTTTTTTCTGAGCCCCCACCAGCTCCTTCAAGACCCACACACATATAACAAGTAGAGGGTAAAGTCTGAGTGACAAGCCCCCGACACCAACCCCCCCCTCTCTCTCTCTCTCTCTCTCTCTCTCTCTCTCTCTCTCTCTCTCTCTCTCTCTCTCTCTCTCTCTCTCTCTCTCTCTCTCTCTCTCTCTCTCTCTCTCTCTCTCTCTCTCTCCAATATAATCTACCTTTTCTCTGGTATATATTAACCTTTGCATATATACAGTTATATCATATTTCACATTAGTTATTTTAGTACTCAGAGACACGTACTCAAGAAGCCATATAAGGAAACGTACTCACTGTGATATTGTGTACATATTTCGTTTCTAAGTGGATGAGTACATGTAATCTCAACTTCGATACTAAATATTGGTTAGGTTAGATTAGTTTAGGTTAGGTTAGGTTCTTGATGCAGGGCGAAATAACTTCATCTTTGTGTCCTTATGATTTAAACCATCAGCCCTAAACTGACCTCCCTCCCACCCCCCCTCGACACCCTCAGCTGAGCCAGGTATTGTCAGGTAGTAAATCAACTCAAGTCAATCTCGGTATGTTTAAAAAAAATAAAAATAATGATGATGGTGAAAAACAAAACAGACAGACACACGCTAGAGGCTATACGTCCCCTATAGAATTTAAAGTGCAGTTTATAGTGTACTGTATGTCTGTTCTAAGGTAAAATTATGTGCCTATGGAAAATATAAACAAACCAAATTCTACTACTATTACTTATTACTACTATTACTACTACTACTACTACTACTGCTGCTATTGCTGCTACTACGTTTCAAACATTGCTTCTGTACCACTGCTACTACTAACAATAATGGTTGCCCCTCGCTACTACTACTACTACTACCACCACCACCACCACCACCACCACCACTACCACCCTGTTACTGGTTCATTTTTTGTGAAGTCTTAAGCAATTGACCCTCCCTTCCTCTTTCCCTCCCTCCCTCCCTCTCTCTATCCCTCCCTCCTTTCCTACCTACCTTCCTTCTTTCCTCCCTCCCTTCCTTCCTTCCATCATTCATTCATTCATAGGTCTTCCCACACCACCGCCTTCCACAATTATTTTTGCCAATAGAATCTCAGTAGTGCCATCTGGCGGCCCTTGAACATGACAGAGATTTACATAATTTATACCGTGTGTGTTTGTGTTTTGTGACTGTTTTTGTCTCGTTGCATCATGGGGGGACATCAATTTGGTATAGGCATCTCTCTCTCTCTCTCTCTCTCTCTCTCTCTCTCTCTCTCTCTCTCTCTCTCTCTCTCTCTCTCTCTCTCTCTCTCTCTCTCTCTCTCTCTCTCTCTCTCTCTCTCTCTCTCTCTCTCTTTTGTTTTCTTTGGAGTTGATACTATCCTATTGGACCCCAACCTACCCTATTGGACCCCAACCTACCCTATTGGACCCTAACCTACCCTATTGGACCCTAACCTACCCTATTGAACCATAACCTAATATAACCTAAACTAGTAGGGTGCGTTATTAGGGTGCGTGGGGGCTTCAGGACATTTATTATACTGTTAGAGTGATTAGGGTGCGTTATGAGGGTGTGAGTTGAGGTGGTTGTAGAGGGTTAGGAGGAGGGAGAGAAGCTACACGGAGGAGGAGGAGGAGAGGTGAGGTGAGGTACTGTAGAAGTGGGAGGAGCGGAGTGATACTGTATACTATTGAAGCTGGTACTCCCCCCTCCCTCTCTCTGTCTCTCTCTCCCTCACTACCTCACCCTCCCTCCATTCCTCCCTCACTACCACTCCTCTCCCTTCCTCCTCACCTCCGCCATTCAACCATACACCCCTACATTAGCGCGTCGGTTGAGTTTCAAATGATACGCTCACCCAATACTAATCTACTTTCTTTATCTCCTTAACCTACACTGTAAATGCTTATGTTATTTGTTAATTTATTTATTATTTGAGAGATATATATAAGAAAGTTGTATTGATTGGTTGTTTATCTGCTAGTTTTGTTGTGTAAGAGTAAGGAGAGTTACCACGTGTTCCTAGCATTCTGTTGCGCATTCCAAGACGCAGCAATTTCCCCGCTTAAGATACAGTAGTTCTCAACGGCACTAACTCTCCTTTATAAATTCTCACCACTACTATAGATTATTTTTTGCCAAGTATAAATATTCCTTAGCGTGTTATAGTGAGTTTTATAGAGTATAGCGTCACAGAGAGGCAGCTAAACACACCCAATGTTTTTTGTTACGAGGTTTTCCGTTGCTAGGCGGTGACCGTTTACTTATATACATACAGTACATACATACATAGCCACTTTAATAAAACACGTACATTTATTTTAAGAATTACGTTAAGAAAATTCGTTAAATATTACGCTAAATTATAAAAGTAGTGAATGATAGCGACCATAGTGTTTTGTTGACAATGTAGTCGCTGGCAAGTCTTCAGATACGCGCTCAATACTGTCTTTGGAATTCTTTGGGGTTTTTTTTTATACCAAGTCCAACTCCTAGCGGGCGTGTGAGTGATGGGTAATGATACTGAATTACTCACCTCACTGGTATTTACACTCCGAGATACCCAAGGCAATTTTTTTTTAGTCTTGCATTCCTTAACGATATATTTAACTGGATGAGTTTTCCTTGTAATTTAAGACTAGGAATATATTTTATATTGACTTAAACCCCGAAAAATAACGCTTATTATTCCCTTGAGATTAACTAGCCTAACGCTAACCTTATCTAACGTATTCTAACCTAACGCAAACCAAACCTAACGCTAGCTTTATCTAACGCTAATCTAACCTAACGTTAACCTGATCAAACCCACCCTAACCTAACCTCACGCTAAGTACTCAAAGGGTTAAATAATACTGAAGGGTTAAATCACCATCGTACTCAAGGGGTTAAATCGTCATACTCAAAGGGTTAAATCACCATCGTACTCAAGGGGTTAAATCATCATACTCAGAGGAGGGGGGGCGGGGAGGGGGCATACGAAATACCTAACCTAACCCATAACCTATGACTTTGGTGGTAGGTTGGGTTGGATAAGTGGACGAGCAGCTTCATGTCCCCCCCCTCAATATTTTCTCTCCCTTTGAGTATTTCATGGTGGACTGTAGACAAAAACTGGTTGCGGTGGTTGATTTTTTACCTTCTCTCGGCTCTTTTTTATGTGTCCTTTACGTGTGGGGGGTTGTTTGTGTGAGGGAGGGGTTGTTTGTTTTGTGGGGGGGGGGTTGTGTTTGGGGGAGGGGGTTGTTTGTGTGTGTGGGGGGGGTTGTTGTGTGTGTGGGAGGAGGCTTGTTTGTGTGTGTGTGTGGGGAGGGCTTGTTTGTGTGTGTGTGTGTGTTTCGTCACATTCAATCATCCTATTTAATAACAGGGTCCAAGGTCTAATAGAACTAGCGCCTATTAGGACTTGTATCTATTAGAACTGATCTATTGATAAATAACCTCATGAACGTATCGTCGTGTGCGTGTTTTCGTGTGTATCATGAGCGTATCACATGTATGTCGGCATGTGCGTATTATGTGCATGTTATCGTGTGAGTATCATGAGCGTGTCGTTATGTGCGTGTCATCGTGTGCGCATCATCCACGGTCTGCTCTTAAACACGAGAATTCTTGAAGGCGGAGTGACTGGTCCACACACACACACACACACACACACACAGCGGGAGGATCTAGTACTGTAATAGCAATGTTCCTGAGGCAAATTGACCCTTATCAACCACCCCCCTCCCCCCTTCTTGGAAAAATGACCACAAAACGATAATAATGATGATAATGATGATGACGATGATGATGAGTGGCCTAGGATGAGTCTGAATATAAATGTGTGATGACATACTCTTTTTTTTTTCATAGACACTTCACCACTCATCACACTTAACTGGGAGAGTGTGACCATTCGGGGTTATATCGCGTGTTTGACTTCAGGCGAACACGTACAGTAATGCGGTGTTTTCTTTCTTTAAATTCTCTTAATATGTTGAGAAGTGTGTGAGTGTGTGTGTGTGTGTGTTTGTATGTGTGTGTGAAATGTATTGGATGTTATGGTGGAGCTAAGATTCATTGGTAAAGCTAAGACTCATTGGTAAAGCTAAGACTCATTACTAAAGCTAAGACTCATTCCTGGGTTGAATAATATACACGAAAGAGAAGAAATTAATGTAGTAGACCCTCTCACACACACACACACACACACACACACACACACACACACACACACACACACACACACACACACACACACACTCACAAAAAACAACAAACTTTAAGGAATCACAAATCGTTTCGCTGAACACCAGAACGAGGTAATGATTCCTCACGAGTACAAATTCTTCGTAATGTCCACCACCTGAGGCCTTTCTCATGTATATACAAGCGTTGAAGACACACGTACGGTACTGGGGAACTTGGCAGAGGGCGTGGAGGTTAAGACATGGGCGCTATACTGGTTAGGTTAGGTTGGGTTGGGGTTAGGTTTGGTTAGGTTAGATTTTGGTTAGGTTAGGCTTGGGTATATAAACGCTTCAGAATTAACAACAAACATGAAGTATTAAATGTTTTATACACACAAGAGTTAATCATACAGTAATACTCCATATAGGCTGACACTCCTCTATAACATTATCAACAAGAACAGTGTTAAAACTTCTGATATGACTGAACAAGATCATCACTACTTGAGAACATTATCCCACGAAATTCCCCTCCCCCTGACAAAGCCATTATGAGTGAGGGCCTCTAGGTATTTCGTTGTCTCACTGAAGCTTCTACACAAAGACGGTGCCCTCCTCCCCCACCCCAAAATGTCTCAAAATTACACCCCCAAAATGTCTCAAAATTACACCCCCAAAAGTCTCAAAATTACACCCCCAAAAGTCTCAAAATTACACCCCCAAAATGTCTCAAAATTACACCCAGATTCTATTGCAGTGAGTTTATTTTAGTTCAGGATGTAGTCAGGATGCGGTGAACGAGTGTATACAACATTCACTACCCGTCCTTATGGTCTCTGGTTCACGCCCGAGGCACCCTTAGTCCACCCAGCTGTGAATAGATACCCCAACTTTATAATTAGGAACATTGGGTTGAATCCTGTACTGTTAGGCTGCCTCCTTGTATATAGAGAACCTATTAGTACGGTATGTGGCATTTAATATGACTTATATTCCTGTCATGATATAACCAAAGAGGATAACCTAACCTAACCAGATCTAACCTCGTAGCCAAAGTTAATTTATTCGTAACCTCATCATAGTTAACTTACCTTAATCTAACCAAATTTGACCTTCGTAATGGTAACGTAACACACCTAATCAAAGTTAAAGGCACTTAACCTCACCTAAACTAACCAAATCAAACTTAACTTAATCTAACCTAATCCAATCCAACTTAAGATAATCGGACGTAAGCACACCTAACTTAACCTAATCTTATCAAACCCACAAACTAACCTAACCTAACCTAATGCTATGGTTTAGTCCTGTGGAAAATTGTCCAATATTGCCCAGTAGCGGTGTGTGTGTGTGTGTGTGTGTGTGTGTGTGTGTGTGTGTGTGTGTGTGTGTGTGGTCACTGCATGAACCTCCACTGAAGTATGACCGCCCAGATGCAACCCCCCTTCACCCCCCCACCTCAGACCCCCTCTACATTATGCGCTACCTCCCCTTCCTTCCTGCACACCCAACGTAATGCATGACTCCCCCCCCCCAGGAACCCCTCAATCAACCCCCTATATTATGCACAGCTGCCCCTCACTTCTCTACCCCTCTCCACCTAATGCATGACTTCTTCCCACCCCTGTCCCTCCTTAACCACCCCAACCCTAACCCACCCCATATTATGCCAGCAGCTGCCCCTCCCCCCCCTCAAGTAATGCATGCCCCCCCTCCCCACATCCACTAATCTACCCCTCAATTCTACCCAGCCAAGCCCGAATGCTCAAAAATTACCTCACCTCACCTCACCTCACCTCACCTCACCTCATCTTATCTTACCTTAATTAGGTTAAGTTGGATTAGAGCGTTAAGTTAGGTTAAGCTACATGAGAGTGTTAGATTAAGCTAGATTAATTTATGTTAGGTTAGATTATATTAGCTCAGGTTTGATTAGGCTAGATTAAGTTAAGTTAGGTTAAGTTCGCCTAGATTAAATTAGGTTAAAAATAAGCTGGGTTAGGTGTGTGGGGGTTGCTAATCTTCATATGATCTTCAAATTGACTTAACCACAAGTACCAAAATATTAACCTTTATTTAAAAGCTGAGTTCAATCTTTCTCTCTCTCGATGACAGACTCGGGACGTTGACTGGCAACATCTTCTGGATTTCTGGGCGGGACTCTCACCTTGTCTCACGCCCGCACGCCCACACTCCCGTCACGCCCAGGGTTCGACATACGCCCTTGGAGACGATCTACCTCCTCTAACATGAGAAGAAATAGATGTTGATGTCACACTCAGTACATCTGGTTTATAGTAATTGTTGTTGTTGTATTAGTTGTAGAAGTAGTAATGGTATCTATACTTGTACTAGAAGTTGTGGTAGTAGTAGTAGTAGCCATAGTAGTAGGAGTTGGGTTAAGTTAGGTTAATATTAGGCTGGATGTATCTGGTGTTTATATAGTGAGAAACATGGCTTCTGATTGGTGAATATGTTATATAGAAATTGTAAGACTGTCTGTGATTGGTGAATGAGTTATATATAGATATTGTAATACTGTCTGTGATTGGTGAATGAGTTATAGGCAAAAGACGCCTGATTGGTGAATCATATACATACAGATAAGAAAACCCTGATTGTGATTGGTTACTCAGACCCATATACAAACAAAAACACACCTTCCACCCCCCCCCCTCCCTCAACAGGTGTATCGTGGCCAGGTGTATGAGATGTATACCTGTACTGTATTTGAGAGTAAATACTGTATATTGTAGTATTAATTATAAGGTGTGTTTTATTGTGCGTAACCTTATTCCATCGTGAGTATTTTCCTATTCCCTTGTGGTAATGGCAAGCTTAGTTTCCCTCAAGGTTCGTAAGGTAATTTTTTTCTCGTAAGGGTTTAAGAGAATTGATCTTACTGGTGGACTTAAAGTAAAATAAGGTCTATAGTGGAATCAGAATTACACTGAGACTCTACCTGAATTAGATATGTTTCGTGAGCATTATTTAAGGTAACGCTGAGACTCTACCTTAATTAGATATGTTTCGTTAGCATTATTTAAGGTAACGTTGAGACTCTACCTTAATTAGATATGTTTCGTTAGCATTATTTAAGGTAACGCTGAGACTCTACCTTAATTAGATATGTTTCGTTAGCATTATTTAAGGTAACGTTGAGACTCTACCTTAATTAGATATGTTTCGTGAGCATTATTTAAGGTAACACTGAGACTCTACCTTAATTAGATATGTTTCGTTAGCATTATTTAAGGTAACACTGAGACTCTACCTTAATTAGATATGTTTCGTTAGCATTATTTAAGGTAACGCTGAGACTCTACCTTAATTAGATATGTTTCGTTAGCATTATTTAAGGTAACACTGAGACTCTACCTTAATTAGATATGTTTCGTGAGCATTATTTAAGGTAACGCTGAGACTCTACCTTAATTAGATATGTTTCGTTAGCATTATTTAAGGTAACGCTGAGACTCTACCTTAATTAGATACACAAATCTAACCCAACTTAATCTAAGCTGATCTAGTCCAACTTAACCTCCCCTAAACTAGTTTAACCTAACCTAATCTAGTCTAATCTAACCTAAACTAATTAATCTAACCTAAACTAATTAATCTAACCTAAACTAGTCTAATCTAACCCAACCTATTCTAGTCAAACCTAGCCTAACCTCTCCTTATCTAACATAACCAAAGCAAATATAATTACAATACTTGGCTTTGTGGTCAGGTCAAGTCAGGTGAGTGAGGGAGAGAGAGGGGAACAAATTACCTATTGAACGAGACATAAAGAGAGAGAGAGAGAGTCCATGGTCCCCTGAAGAAGGCCCGGGCGGAGATATTGGAGGAGGATTGTGTGCTGAAGGGACTTGTGTGTACTGTGAAAAATTGAGTGGGTGGTGGAGGGGTGGGTGAGAGGAGACGCCCTCACACATACAGCCAGACAAGAGGGGGTGAAGTAAGTCTTGAAGATGACAGATGGACATGACAAGTTATATCCACAGGGAACAAGTTGGCACATTGTTTTGTTTTGAAGGGGAACTTTGTGTGGGTCTGTGTAAAGGAAAAAGTTTATTATTATGTTTGGGATAAAATTATAATGTGTTGAGGTGCATACAGGGTGTCTCAGGAAAAGAAGATTGTAGGATAGTGTGTTTAGATTTTTCTGATAACACTGTATAATAATGTCGCCCTAACACCTGAGTATTTGTTTTTGTGGTTTTAGTTTATTTTTCACTCCATGTTCATCCTGTGATTGGTAGCGCACCGTTGATTTTGTCGGTAGAGAGTTGATTTATGAACTTGTTGGAGTCAGAGAATTCAGGTGGATAGTGTGGATTCCTTCTTTAACTCAAGAAACACGCTGGTGAATCTGGTGTTATCTGGTTCAATCGAAAATATGTTGACTGTTAGGCCGTCGAATTTGCGCCGAGTGTTGTGTGACGTTGCTCGGTGTGTCCCCCGTTACGTAACACCTCAAGAATGTTTCAGAATTTCTGTAATTTGTAGACTCCCAGAGCTGTCATCCTGTGGGCGACGGTACAGTTATATGACTTCTTCACTCGTTGTTAAAAAACAACTTATCAGCACAAGCCGCGGAAGCGAGAACAATATTTGGCTTCAAAATAGTTCTTGACAAGACTCAAGAACAATGGGGGGGATCCTACACAGGCCACTGGCCTCCTTCCCCGCCATGGCCACACCTCTAGTTGGGGTGGCCTTTAAGTAAACAAGGTAAACGAAATCTAGCCCATTGTCTTCGTTATGTGATCCAGAAGATAATAGGAATATTCTGTTACACTCACAGGTTATAGTGTTATACTGTGTAACACTCCGTTCACGTAAAAGATGAATCATACCGGATGAAATTTCCGGCATTCACCCTGTAATTGCGATTTAGGGTAATGAATCATAAACATCCAAGCCAATTACATTGAATATTTTTCGTTTATATAACGCAGGGGAATATTACGACTTCGTTTCTATATTAATTACATGCTAAAATAAAAGTCCTAATATGTTTTAACATCAATTCAGCAATGAAAGAAGCTTGTGTGGCCGCTGGGATGAATTTGAGTGTGGTAGCAAGGCTGGAGGCGGCCATGAATCAAAAGTATTACTGCACGCCGCCGCGCTGGCTAGAAACGTTACCCAAACGGATTACTCACCACGTGAATGTTATCCCGCGAACTACCACTCACAGGAAATGATTCACACTACTCAAACATTTCGGTTAGTTGTATCATTTGAATTTGAACAAAAAGTATATTTCTAGGACATGGGAATATTTGTGGATTATCTATTGAAGTAAAAGTATGCGTATGATATATTTTCATTTAAGCTGCTGTTCCATGGAATTTTTAAACATTCTGGGAAAAAGGTATCAAGAAATCGATACAGGATTTTCAGTTGGGGCCAACGCTCTCCACTGCCCCTCCCACACTTGCGTATATTTATGAGTTATGAGATAAGAATGTGAGCACTAGTACAGAGAAGCACTTATTCACCTATCCTAAACGAAACGTGTAAATTTACAATTTCTCCGAAGAATAATGAACTGAAACTTCACACCATGCGGCATGATCTTACATTAATACATAAGTAAACTTAACACCAAAACTTAGTGGAGATATGACTAATATTAATCTTGACAGTGAAAACTGAATGTCATGCTTTGATTCAACCGCAAACGAGTTCAAAGTTGATATAAATCGCTGTGGAATTAATGGCATGCGTCCAGTAGATTGTTGCAAGACATTTTAAGAGTCCATAACTTGTAATATTATTTTTATCTATAAACAAATCAGTTATACAGCATTGTATACATTCAAATATTGTGAATGCACTCAAGTGGTGAAAAATAACAAAGTGGGGGTAAATTATGAAGAAATGAGTGCAACGTTGATGTTGGTAAGTTTGGGATCAATGCACGCAGTCCTAGGCCGGGTACTCCTGTGTAGGCCGCTTCTCTCCCCACACTCGCCCCACTCGATACACCCTATAAGAGAAACGAAACCGGAAAAGTGTGAAAAACTTCGAAAATAATCTTTGTTACAGTTTATTTTGTCGTGATAAGTGTATACAAGTGCATTTGATAAAAGAGACCAAAAAAATGTTTTAAGAAACCACGCTCCCGCTCGTCTTCTGTTTACGAAGCGCGATGTAAACAAAAATCGCTTTGCGTCCTTCTCGTCTTTTCCCTTCCAATCTTCATCTACCTCATGTCACAGCTTGCGGCGTAGTTGACCAGTCATGTCTGGGGTGGTGGCGGTGCATGTAGGTGAGTTATGACCCCCAGAGTGTGTGTCAGGTGTGTGTGGAAGGTATAAACTACATCAGCGGGATTTGGCGGGTGACTTTCCTCCTGCTCTTCTCTGGCTGCATGGCCCTTCCCTCACCCCACAACTATACCTCCTAGTCTCTCCCGTGACCCCAACACAACTTATTATTAATTTGTTTATATAGAATTTTATCCTGTTTTACTGTTATATTTCTTCCATGTTTAGTATTTATTCCAGGTATGTGTGTATTGTGCTAACATAAGCTAATTAGTGAAGGGGTAGGCCTAGAGATTTTATTATTACTGTATTTCTAACCCAACTTTGTGTGTATTTTGAGTTTTGATTGTGTTTATTTATCAAAATTATTAACAAAGTGCTGTAGTAATCGATTCTACTTTGTTATCGACTCATATCAACTACTCCATGTCTATATATTTCTCTAATAATTGACCTAAATGTTATGTGAGGTCAGGTGAGAAGCCTCTACTATTGAACTAATGAACTGTGAACTTTGACCTCATATAATGAAACTTTATTACTAAGGAGTGAAACTTAATTCATGACATACTTTTGTGATCTTTACATTGGGGGGTAAAGTTAATGAAGAAAGAAACTGTTATTATTTATGGATATTTTACCATTGGAAGTTCGCTAAAATGTTTGTTATGATGTGTTCGGTACATAGAATATAAATAAGCGGTGTATAATGGAGAGAAATAAGTGTGACACATATTCATAAAACACTCCACAAGAATCAACATCAGCGTAGGATTGTTCAGAAAAAGCTTAAGTTCGGTAGGGTTAGGTTAGATTAGATTTGATCGGTCGTAGTGTATATCATCAATGATTTTTTATACTTTTTGTTAAATTTTTACTATTTGGATGCCATGTATATAAAGTTTATTACCAGAATGTTGTAATAAATGAGTCTGGCATTGTGACTAAAAAATAACTGAATCACATGATATAGCCAGTAGGTCAATGTCCTTTACATCATTGACATTTTGGTGAATTAATAAGCCCTCTCTTGAGTTGTCTTGATTTTAGTTAGAACAAATCACTTGAGTTAGGTAGTGATCAGTGGTTCATTTGTGCTAGAGATGTTTTTGTGATCATGTTCGTTTGATGAAAGCACAAAGGTGGTAATTGCTGAGGCTAAATCTGCTATTTTATTCTGAAGATATTTTCTTTGAGATTTTTACGGTCGTTTTAAAAAGTACTATAATATTAGTCTTTTTGGAGAGGAGAGGAAACTTACTTTGAAAACCATTCATAGATTAAGCAGACCACAAGAGCCAACCTAACTTAACCACACACATCCTAACTAACACTTCCCTTCGAGCATTGGTTGGAGACGTTGGTTCGTTTGTATTTTGTGCATTAATATAAAGATCACATGTAGATTGGGTACCCTTCCTTATCTCACCTGATAATTAAACACCCTAATGCTAACCTAACCAAACCTAACCCCTCAGGTAGCAATAGGACGTTTCATCGTGTGGACTAACCTGGGGCGCCTAATCTTCACGTGATCCTAAAAACCCTATCAGCGAAGATCTCATCAAGAAATAAAATGACTACTAAACTGAACACTTTCCCAAAGGAGGTTAAGAGGAACTAGGTTAACTTAATAAATTATTCATACTTTTACTTTTTTTACTTTTTTTTATTTTTTCATATTTTTATCAATCACATCTCTTACACACTGTGGACAAGTACTGGGCATGTATTGGCTCCTGAGTGTATTATACTGTTTAATTGAATAATATTGTATTGTCATGGGTACAGTATACTTGGGGAGGGGTCAGGTTTTATTTTCATCACGCCCCCAAAAATTTACAATCGTCGAAAAATAAAAAATAAATCTTGTTTTTTCCGTTTCCTTGACACTACTTGCAAAATTATCAGTCCCTATTAATTTCATCTGATATTTTAAACTTATTTTTTCGCTCTTTCAATAAAGCTCTTTGTTTTCAATGTCCCATCTTGAGATTTTGTAAATTATTTATAACTTTTATTAACATAGAATATTACTGGTGGTAAGGGCACATCAGTAGAAATTTATCTCGACCAATTATTATGTAATGTTTGAAAGAAAGGGAGAAAATGTGACCTATGTTACCTATTTCTTTCTGCTTGATAATTATTTTTTTTATTTTTTTCAGGTATGATTTATTGTAACTATTTCTTTTCTCTTTCCTATATCTCTCTCTCTCTCTCTATTTCTTTTCTCTCTCTCTCTCTTATGTACCTTGAGGTTAAGTTAGGTAGGTTTCATTTGGTTGGGTTAGTTTAAGTATTGTTTGGTTGGATTAGTTAAAAGTGTAGGTACGGTTAACTTGAATTATTATTATTATTATTATTTTATTTTTTTTTTTTTTTTGGGTAAGGTCGAGTTTCTTCAAGTTTGTTTAGTTAGGGTTGGATTTGGTGAAGTGTCGGCAAAGTTAGGTCAGAATGGGTTAGTTTTAGTAATTTTAAGTGGATCACCTGAAGGTTTACCCTCTTCCCTCTAGCTTATTTCAATTAAAGATTAACTACGCTAATCTAACCTAACTTACTCTTGACCTAATCCACCCAAGTAGCCTTACAATGGTTAATCTTTGGGCTAAGTTTTGTTAATTTTGGTTAGGTTGGGCTCATGTGGGTAAAGTTCAAGTTGGGTTAGGTTAGGGTGTTCCAGCAGCTGGGGGGGGGGGGTGCAGTCCAAGTTTTATGTAATGGTGTATTTACTGGAATAGTCTTGGATGGCAGTACAAGAAAATACTACCGTACTACAGAAATAATTGAGGTTCTTGTAGCTGTTTACTGTAAACACTTCCTCACTTGAGCAGCTCCAAGGCTCTTCCTGGCAGAGCACCTTGGAGGGAAGAACAAAGGTTTATTTACCTTTCATTAATATTGCTCTCATTGAGGTGTAACAGGTGCCCCACTTGTTGCACTTGCAATTCATTACTACATTGCTTATGAGCTTAAATATATTGTTGCATGACTGTTTTGGGCTTACAGTCCCTGGTCATTTGGGTAAATTTTGCTCTTATCAGTAAATAAATGTTCCCCTTTACTTACCTGGTTAATTACCTGAATCAGTACTTTGGGTTGGTGTGTGCCTAGATGTTTTGTTTCCTTGTCATGAAAGGGAGAGTTCATTATGGGAGCTGCGGGTCGGCTTTTATTCCATGCTTTGCTTTATTCTGGATCCTTTTGTTCTTATAGTAGTTGAATGACTCGGGTATATTTACTGGGTTACTAGTTACAGGTCGTGTCAGGTTAGGTGACCCCAATCCTTTTCACGTGGGTTTATGAGTCCAGTGATGTACCCTGCCCTCCTTGTGTGGTGGTTGAGCTAGGAAGTTTTAGGATGGTACAGTCGGATTGGGTTTTGCCGTCATTGGTTATGGATATATTTTATTTGGAATATCCAGATGCAGGGTGTTGCTGGTGTGCCTTAGCATGTATTAAATTTTAGTGTCTTAAAATTCTTGGATGGGATAGGGAGCTTTGGTAAGGGGGAGCTGGAGCAGCACACTTTACTACAGTACTGTATTGAAGACTCCCTAAACAAAATTATGTGTCATGTAAAAATGCCTTAAATACATAAGACAGGAAGCAGTGGTGTTGTCTATTGGCTCATCATGTTTTATAAGTGAAGGAACAAGAGCTGGTTTAGTATATTCAAACACTCGTTTTCTGTACCAACAATGTTTGGCCAACATAAGCAGTGTTAAGTCTTCAGCTGGTGAGAACTGGCTGTATACAGTATCCACCATCACATCAGTATTCAAGTTTAATAGTGTTAGGTTAGGTTATTGGGTTAATATTCTTTTGGCCGAAGTGCATCTCAACTTTTAACGGGTTCCATTTATCAAGAATTCACCTAACAAACTCATTTCAAGAACACAAGTTACTCATTCAGTGGGACCTCATCGTATGTGTTACAAAAATCATTTATATCCTGTGGAAGATTCTTGATCTGTGTATAGGGATCTCTTGTGTGACCAAATAGTCTTGTTCAGTCAGATTTCTATTTTAGTGAAGACAAATGGTGTGGTTGTAACATGACCAATTATAACTAGTCTTGTATAGTTATTGTGTAGGTTATGTTAGTTGTCTTTTATTATTATTATTATAAAACTCTGATGTTGATAATTGCTATGTTCATCAAGTGTACTGTATGTGTGACTAGGTTTACAGGCCTCTCTCCCTGCAGCCTTTCTCTCTCCATTATTAATATATTTTCACTGCTTCAGGTGCTGGGAGTCACTCCTCATCCCTGAAAGGAGAATACAAAAAATTAATGAAGGAAGCATGTGTTCAGGTAAGCCATTTTCCTCCTTCCATTTTCTTTGTTTATTTTTCATACATTACAGGTACATGTACTGGTATATATTTTGTAAACCTGGGTGTCATTATTGCTACAGGAACAGCCCAGGTAGTCATAACTGACCTATTGTTCAAATGCTGCCTATTTTGGTGTCCATAGCAACCATTATAGTTCATAGCAATTGATTGGTTGCCAGGGACACTAAAATTGGATAAACTTAGCTAATTTATCTGATGTATGAGCACTTTTTGTCTGACTTTCAAGGGACTGTTGCTGGGATACAGGAACTCGCTACATTGGGCAAGTGTAGTGTGAGTTTAGCTCGTCCAGTGCTGTCCCATCAACTGACCAATGGGTTATCATTAGTTTTACTTCCCATATACTGTACAAGATTCATAATAATATATAATGGTTGATGTACATTATATAGTTTGCTTTTACTTTTTTTTGTAGTCTGACTCATAATTACAGTGATTGGTAATGTTGCAAAATACAGTATTGTTGTTTTGTTGTTTTACAGGCCATGGAAATACTTCGGGGGGGTGGGAATGCTCTTGATGCAGTGTGCACGGCGACGCAGGTGTTGGAAGACTCCCCTCGCACCAATGCAGGGTTTGGGTCTTCCCTCACTGGTCAAGGTAAATCTTTAACATAAGTCGTTGTCTCACTTTTGTATCTTTTCTTAATTATTTTTGATGGCCTGTAGCTTATAATAGTTACATTGAACAATATAATTAACAATGGAAAGATTCCTATTGACTGGAATTGAACAGGTGACTGATAATTATTCTTTTTTTTTTTCACATGAGGTGGAGTAGAGTGTGATGCAAGTGTAATGGATGGACACACACTACGTCACGGTGCAGTGGGAGCTGTACCGGGGGTGAGGAACCCTGTGTTGCTGGCCAGACAAATCCTTGATGCACAGTCACAGCCTTTACCAGGTGGCCTTGTTCCTCCCAGGTGAGTCCACTTCACTGATCATTACTAAGATCCTGAGAGGTTTTAAGATATAGGTAAGTACTATATATATATTTACCCATTCAGTAATGCTATTTCATATACGTACAGTATTTAAGAAGACCTGTTTCCTGTATTTTTGTTTAGTGTATATTTAGGTAATTTTATATTTCCCAAAGGATTATGAAGACAGTTATTCAATACTTGCTATTTATTATTTATTTTTCATTGATACTTTTTTTTTCTGTTTACAGTTTCTTGGCAGGTCGTGGAGCTCAGGTGTGGGCAGCTTCAAATAATGTGGAAACTTGTGAAGATGGCGAACTGATTGCTGGTGAGTGGGCTACTTCATAGTGACTTGTACAATATATATCTGTGCTAAAGAAATGAGGGAAGGTAGAGGACTACGGTTCTTGTGGCTGCCCATGATAGGGAATTTGTGCTCAGTATTTTACACACACAGATAGATACATACTGTACATACACAAATACAAACACACACACACACACACACACACACACACACACACACACACACAGAGTAATAAACCATGATTCAGGATGATGTGACTGGGAAGGGAGACCTGTACTCAGCTTTGTTCTCTTGCGACACAGAAAACCTAACACCTCCTCTACCACAAAGTAAGACCACAGTACATGATTACCACAGTACTCGCAGCATAATAACTCAACCCTAATGTTTTGCATTCCAGAGAGGTCCCAGCGGATACACGAAGAAAGCATGCGTAACATACAGAGACTGGAAGAGGGTGGGGCTAAGAGACGGAGATATGCATTGCCCGAAGAAGAGGAGGAAATGCAGGTTAGTGAAGCAGAAGATTCAAGCAGCGGGGAGGAAAGGTATCGGAGAAATTGAACACCAAATTTGCCACATGAGGAAAGAACCTTAAACATTGGCTTGTAATATCACAGCTACTTTACACTGGGGGGGGGGGGTCTTGTGTGATATAATACAGGTTATTTTAACACTAGATGGTTTGGATATATAACTAGAGAAGTAATCATTTGCTTGAACAGGAAGAAAAACATAGTAGATGTTAAGGGTTGTGGAGAAATAATTATCTTTGGTTCATCATTTGTGTAAATTTTTCAGGGTGGACTTTTGGATACTGTCGGTGCAGTGTGTGTTGACGGTTCCGGTTATGTTGCTAGTGCTGTGTCAAGTGGCGGCCTCCTGCTCAAGCATACAGGGAGAGTTGGTCAAGCTGCAGTGTATGGCTGTGGCTGTTGGGCCGAGAACAATTGCGATGGTACGTTTGGCCTTGTAGTTTTATTTTATTTATTTATTCATTTCTTTTTTGTTTTTGGATCTGATCGTTTACTGTAATCTGATGAATGACTAGATGTATACGTTCCCATTATGTACCCTTGAGTCGGATGCTTCTTGTAATACGGCGTAATAAGAAACGACATAAATAGAGAATTTACCACACCTCCACTATTAAACTATACAATGCTGGTGATAAATATAAAAAAATAATAGCATACAGTAATCCCTCCCAATACTGGACTAATTCTTACAAGCCCTGTCTGATATTGGGAGGATTCTGTTAATGAGGATATCCAGTAATGAGAAGTCTGTTATTGAGAGGGTTTTCTGTACTCTTATTTCACTCACCCGATAGTGTTCTCAATGTATAGGACAACTGATAGCTAATTATACTGTAGTGGTTGATGGGGGTTTGTGTTTTGAGGGCCATGCTATTTTAAAACCACTCGCTCACTCACTCACTGATGTTTTGGCAGAACTGTGGGGTAATGTTGAGAAAATTACGATGTTTAATGATGTTTTGATGTGTCAGTGTTTTTTTTTATCCACTTAATCGAAACATTACCTTGAGGATGACAACAGATTTATTCCTAACCTAAAATACTCGAGTAAAGAGGATAAAATAGTGTGATTTATTGTATTGGGGTGATGTAATTCTGCGTGAATTTGGGTCTTCTGTTTTGAGCGGACGTCTGACTCGGTGGAAAGCGTTTTGAAGATTTTAAAGGATGAGGTATGAAGAGTAACAGTTGTGATGTTTGTATAATTTGTATACTCCATTGATATATTTAAGACCTAAAGTACCTTCTGTATGTGGTAATGGACCCCCTTCCCCACCCCCCCAAATGAGTATAAGTAGGCAAGGGAAAAGAAATTGTACACATTATCGTTCCATCTTCAACTCAGATTAAGGTAACTTCCCGGTTAAATACTTAATCAGTTTGACGTCACAACCACTGAAAAGATAAGAATTGTACGGAGGCATTTCTATTTACTAACTAATATCTGTATATTTTTTTTTAAGAGTTTATTGTGGTAAAGCAAATGTGTCATTATTTGTGCCATTATACTCTATTTAAGTCATTTACATTTGAACTTAAAGAAAACATTGGATTGGAGGAAAATATCGAATAGAATAACTAATGATTACTAAAGTGTTGAAATATTTTGTGTTGCTTCACCCAAGTTTATGACATTTCTTTAAAGCTTTATTCCGTGAGTGTGCTAATGGCTAACGTGGATTGCTTTGTGCCAGGTAGCGGTGTAAGTGTAGGAGTTAGCACGACCGGTTGTGGGGAGCACCTCATCCGCACCATGTTTGCCAGACTGTGTGCACGCGCCGCCATTTCACCTGAGCTTGGGAGCAACATCACTCATGCCGTCACCACCCACTTCCTGGGTAAGATGTTTTTCCTTGTTATTGAAGCCATTTTGATAATTTCAGGAAGATATCACCACTATAAATTTGATTATACTGTATTTTATTACCTAGTGAGGGCTTGTGGTTATTACCTGCTTAATATTTGTGAATGTGTTCAGAACAAGGAGTTAATTGTGTTTGAGATAACATTCAAAATGTTATAATCAGTTGAATGTTGCTATCATTAAAAACAAACATTATAAACCTAGTATCCTGGCCTATCACATGACATTTTTCCGGAAGTTAAATACTGTACTTATAAGTTTTTACGTTGCCTCTCCCACTATTAGTTAACTAACCATTTATTTGCCCTGCAGAATCTGACTTTTTAGAGGGAGTCCATCCAAGAATGGCTGGAGCACTTATCTTACGTCATGATCCACAAGGAGGCATCAGTGATCTTTACTGGCTCCACACTACCCGCACGATGGGAGTCTGCTACATGACTACTAGTGACCGCAAACCACAGGTAAGCCCTCGTACCTTAAATAATACTGAAATCCTATTGGAGAACTGAAGCAACTCCTCTCTGCTCTGGCAAACTTGAGACCCTTTTAAAACGACATTGGAATTTTGCCATGATTTCCATATTATTTAGGTCATATAGTGCCGAGTTAACAAAACAGTATCTTATATTAATCAGTTGTTTAACTGTGCAAGTAGCCAATTTGAGCCATCATATAACTCAGAGATAATAAATAATACTAGGAATGTACTCTAGGTATGTTTATGAAAGCAGGTAAATATTAGTTGTTTCTGTTAAGACCAATGATACCTTTATACCTCATTCCAATTATATAGTTGTATTAATGTTGAATGAGTATTAATATAAGACTTGATGCACATCTCTGACTTCATTTCCAAGGCTCAATTTTCGGAACTCGCCGAGGACAAGATTGGCATCTCAGTAAACCTCCAGAGTAAGTCATTTGGAGGAGGTATGCCAGTTGTGACAACAAGTGGTGACATACAGCCTGGTCCATCACATGCAGGAGTCTCTGGTCTGTTGGTGGGAGAGGAAGAAAGGGAAAAGAGTGACTCAAGTGATGATGATGAAGAAGAAGAAGAACCAGGATAACAGGGAAGGAGTGGTGTGAAGAGATGAGCAGTTTGGACAAGAAAAAAAATAACTCCTGAATCACAACAATTAAAATTATCTCATCCTTCTTCAACAAGTATGATGCTATAGTAATAATGGTTGAGTTTGATAAAAAGAAAGCTGCTTTCTCACTTGTTTGTAATGATTTTAATGGGAACAATATTTTCACAATATTTAGTCATTTTCAGATAAAATATTCATTTGATAAAAGTTCTTAAATATGGATCATAAATTGATAGCCTGTTCCCATGGTAATGATATTGTATTTTGCAGCTGTCATTCAGGGCAAGACTTGAGCTTCACAGGGTGAGAGAAAATTTCTTAAGAATAAGCTTTTTTAATTGTAATTTAAATATATGGTTATATTGATAACACCACTGCCCAGAACCTTATGTAAGTAGGTGATCGTATGATAATTTTTCTAGCTCTTCAGGGTAACATGCCACACGCTGGCAAACTTGCATTTCAAATCATTCTAGAATTAAGGTTCATCACAACTGTCACTGCCAAACGTGCACAGCCACTTAACCAGTATTTTCCCAGCATTTCCATAGTAACACAGTTCTTTCCGGAGAGTGCATTACAAGCCTGTGGTAGCAGGGTGAGCAGACCATACTGGGATCCAGCACCTGCAATTTGGAAGTTGCAGGAATCAGTTTGAAACTACATATATGCCTCCAAGAGACCTTAGATACTGCACAATGTGTTGTTATATTCATATTGTACCATGTTTGTATGATGCGTCGAAGAATCCTTAATGCTTCTTATGTGTAACTACTGTGTATATATATATATATATATATATATATATATATATATATATATATATATATATATATATATATATATATATATATATATATATATATATATATATATATATATATATATATATATATACAGAGCTGTAGGTTTGCCATATACAGTCTTGTGTATGTGAACACATTTAATATAAGAAAGGCTAAAGGAAGATTTTGTGAGGAATGTGACCTTAGTAGAACCAAGTTAAACCTCACTCAGGTACCACAGGTAATTTAACTGCCACACAGGAACCATACACTACCTCAGTTGTGCCACCAACCAACAGTCCCTCACTGGCCCTACAACACTCATCCCCAAGTTGTTCAGAAGAAAGGTTTGCATCCATCCTCTTTATTTGTGTAGACAGTTTTTATAGACTAGTAGACGTTTACATAAAACCAGCTTTAAATTTCGGTTCACCGTGAGCTCACGTTTTACGGTAAACGTGACAAAATTTTATTATTTTGATAGGAAACAAGATACTGTAGGCAGCTAATATGGATGAGTGTTGGAAGGTGACCGAGGGTCTGACCTGCTCAGGGTGGGCTAGCTACAGTTAATGGTGTATTCTCTTGCTCATGCTGCTTCTGTTTGTGCTCTTATTACAGTTAAGTGGAGAATCTATATTCAAAATGTACTCTTTCAAGCAGATTTTGTCTGTCTGTGCTACTAGATTCCCTGAGGTTAATGACTATCATGTTACAAATAGAAGGGTAGTACTGTATCTATGTTGTATATCATTGAATAGGGTCTGCTTTACTACATGCTAAGTGTAGATTCTGTGATGACCAGCACTGCCAACTGTTATTGCTTCCCCCCTAGTGACAAACTAATAATAGTCATGGTTTTTATACATTCCATATGTTGCTGATGCACATTTCTATTGATACGTTCCCTATATGTCAATATATATGTACCTATGCATCTGCAGCGTGAGCAGCAGCAACAGTTTACAGTTCCTCCTAGTCTTGCACACCCTGAGCCCCACCCACCAAGTGCCTGTCAAACCACTATACCTCAAAAATCTCCATAGTAACTCATTCCAGTGGACCCATATCAGGAGTTTTGTTGTGCTTTTACCTAACCAGTCATAGATAGGTGGAGGTTTGTCAGTAGTTAACAGTGTGAGGCTACATTTTCTTTATTATTATAAGTAACATTTATTATTATCATCATTATTGTTTTATTATTATATTATTATTATTCCTAGGAATGGCAGGCCTCCACACCATTTTACCCACAATAGTTCTCATCAGTTACGGTTGGTTATATAATGCCTAATTACAGTACTGTACTTTATTCATAATAATATGCTGAATCACCAGTAGCCATCAGCAACTGGCTGACAGTAACGTGTTAGGCATTGCATTTTTCCAATCAACATCCATCATCCCATGTTTTATCTTAAGCCTCTTAGACATTCTTTCTGTAAACGTAAATATTCTTTTGCCCCGTCGGGCATAGCTGTAACAGTAGCTTGTATTAGTAGAGTTTGAGCTTATTTTTATGCTTAATGTAATCTTAACTTGGGTGCTCAAGGCCCATTCTTTGTAATAGATATACGTATAAAAAAGTGTCATAGAAGTTCAAAATAAATCAAGACTCAGGTTATACTTGAGCTCTTGTTATGCATGTTATATGGCTGATGCCTTCCCATGAGAAAGTGCCCAACTATTAGACATGATGCTCACCAGGTATGGCAGTGATGCTCATACAAACCTGATATTCTGCACTCTCACTATTTGCTTGAGACCAGTGAAGAGTACTGTTTTACTAGAGAATAATGAACTAGTTGTGGTAAACTTTTTCTTGTGATTTTTTTTTTCTAGGTAGGTAATCAAATATGCAATAGCATTCAGTATTGCCAATACAATGGGCTTACATCAGAAGCCCTGGCCAATATCCCACCATCATATCACACACATCCAAAGAGTGAGGCAGTTGTACATTAATTGCCACTAAGAGGTGTCTGTTACCATTCATTGTCTCTAATATATGTAACATTTAAAATACTGTTATTGTTTTTCAATGAAAAATACAGCATTACAATCTTGTGCTGTTTTTATTTTAAAGGAAATACAGGGTATACAAATGCTGCTCGAAAATACAAGCATGTGTGTGTGGATTTAGATATTTGATTTATAAATGTAAGGAAGTTACAAATGGTAAATGGCATTGACCCTCTTTGTGTGATAGTCAAGCCAAGATGAAGAAGAAATGGGTGAATGTTAGTGCTACTGGGTCTTGTTCACTCAAAGTTTAAAGATAGACTGGAACCCAAATGGTTGGTATTGCTGTAGTCATGTATGTGTTAATGTGACAAAAAAACTACCCACTACTCATTAATGTTTAGTAACAAGATCTGACCTACTGCACTATCAGAAGACACTGCCAAGTTTGTGTGGTATCCTTGGATATAAACCTCACTTTCTTATAGGTCCACTGTGGAACATGTAGCAATGTGGTACTTTGTCACATGATTTTAGTTTCCACATGATGACTTCTGTTTTATAGAACTTAGATAATTATTACACCCTTAATAAGCTATTATTCCTGTATGGTACACAAGTTCAGATTTCAGTATCATTGTGACGCAGAGGAATCGGTTTTAGTCTGGTGTCCTGACAGATTTTTTTGTACGTCATGCACCTGCCATTGGGTTTTGCTGGCATGTATTAACGTAGGGTTGACTGACTGTCAGTGTCACCTGATGAAACACATCCAGGTTTTTGTGGGCACTTATATTGCAAGTACTGTGTATCTTAACTGTTACTCTGAAAGTATATGAATTTGAACCAATGAATTACAGAAATATTAGATTATAAAGTTAAAAACCAATAACATCAAAATTTTTAACTAGATTTGATAACAAAAGAGTTGGGTATGTTTAAGTGTTCAGGGTGATGTTTTGTATGCAACATCCCATGGACGTTGCCCTGAAATTAATTTGTAGACACTTAAAATTTGAATGGTAACAGACAAGCTCTTTTTAGCCTAAGTATATCACAGTGCTGGCTGGTTATTGCACCTTTTTTATGTAAATTGTACATATGTTTGTATCTGCACCATAACTGGAAAGCATTTTACCATTAGACGATATGGAATTACTTCTAGTAAGACAGCTATTTGACTTGGACTCGGAACTGCTACATTATGTGTAAAATTTCTTACATTGTATATTCATTTGTGTACTGAAGCAGGGTTTTCCCTCAATGTTTGGGCAAGAGGCTGGAGGAGAATGGGAAGAGACAAGATCAGGGCAGCCATCATGGCTTACAGGCTCTAAATCCTGTAACAAATGGGACAATTACAATGACTTTCAATGTTAAAATGAATACAGATACCTGTATGTTTAAATAGTAACTAACATGTAGTTAATAATGTTTTTATAACATTAAACAAGATTTTGTTCCAGGAACAATTTGATTGGCCCAGTTGTCAATTAAATGGTCAACTTTGCCAGCAGTCAGTTCAGTAGAAAAGTCCTGCAGAAAGATGTGCTCTCAGCCTTTCCATCTCTATTTCCCTTACAGTTAAACTCCATTTTATTACCACTCACAGTATCAATAAGGTTCTTTCTACAAGAAACCACCACAAGGTTTTACTGGGAATTACCATATCATTAACCACTGTTACACGGTGTATAATTTAATATAATGAATTTACCTGTAATACCTTTCACATTGATTTTTAAAGTAATTTAAAGAATAAAATAATTATATTGAAGTATTGTATGGTAATATTTTTGTTTAATTGAAGTTCTACGGCAAGTAACTTAAGCATTTTGATCACCAAATTCATGGTGTTGTTTACCAATAACAAAAATGATAAGTTTTCCTTAAATCACTGATCTAAAACAGGAATACTAATACAATACATAATGGCATATAGATTGTTTATGCTCCCCCAATATTCTGAACAACTGAGAGATAATTGGGGATCACTTAATCTGTCTTTAACACAAACTGAAAATGTGGGACCAATTACCTTGTAAATTGGAAAATAGTCAGTGTAGTGATGTACCGTAATTAAGTAACGCCAAACTTTAAGTTTGTTGTGCCGAGTACCATAATGCCGTGGATTCTGACATGTTGTGCCTCCATTAGTTATGAAAGTGTAATAAAGACTTGGTGTTGATACAGTGATACTTTGACTGAATGATAAAGTTTGAGTTTTTCGTGTAAGGGACGACGGATCATTGAATCATATTTATTTTTGTTTAAGGAGTTTGTTCTTGGTTTTTACAAAACTCTTCTCATAATAACTTTGTTACAGTATTTATTTTTGAATAGATAAATTTAAAAAAATGTATCCTCTTAAAAAAATATCCCTTTATATCACTTTGGTCATTTTCTTGTGTTTTCTTTAAGTGTTGATGTAACAATGACCAGCCAGCCATATGTGAAGGAGTCGGTAAGGACAGTTGTATGTGTGAGGCTGGACAATGCCAAGTAAACAGTGTATTATTGCTCACTTTAGAAGAGTTTTAACCAAGTTCTCATAGTGTGAAACTGTACTCAGTGAAACAAAGTGTGAAGCTGTACTGTACACACTGTTTTAATATTTGACTGGCTTGTCTTGTTTCTTGATCCTTAATGAGTTTTTCTGTTATTACTGGCCTGCCCGACCCCTTCCTCAGAGGCTTTGTGAACCCACATTGCTCAACCATTGACCAAATGATTCCATGCCATGTTGTTAAATCCAGCTACCTCAATCAGTCAGCAATAGTAATAGACTATACCAGCTTAGAGGCAAAGTTTCTTAGTGGAGGTTAACTAATCATAGTGTGTTAATGTAGTGTCATATGTTATGTCTCCTCTTTTACAACTAATGATTTTAATGTGAACCTTGTTTTTTTATGTAATACAGATGTAGCTTCTCTGATTATTGTGGTGTTTCGACGTTTGCAAGACCACAGGGTGAAGTACACGGTCTAATGCTAATGCGAAATTGTTTATCGATGGGTGAGCGTCGT